GTCAGCGCGTGCCATGTGAAGTCAAGTTATCGTAAGTTTATCCTAAAGTTGCTATGGCCTCACACGGCTGATTTTAAAAAAATCTTACCGGGTGCTCTTCATCATAAAGACTATCAGTTGCTGTTCATAGTCACACAAGTTGCACGATTTGGGAATGTGAACCGCGCACACCTCATAGATTGATGTGTTTTTTTTTAAATCGAACATAGGGAAATTACATTGCATGCAAACTCCTATGTTCGCATTTAAAAAAAATTCACTGTATATCCCAAGGAACTTCGTTACATTTAAGTTAGTTAAGTCTCCCATCTCAGTCGTGAAGTTTAGCTCCTGAACCATCGCTCTTGGAAACTTAATGCTACATGACTTCTCGCAGTTGAATTTTAATTCATTGCTGCAAAACCAATGAAAGACTTTGTTAATTGTTTCCGTAGCTTTAAGTTCGAGCTCCAGAACATCGTTTGTTTTAATTAATAAATTGGTATCATCTGCAAATAGAGTAAACTCACAGGCACTAAAACTCTGGTAAATCATTGATATATAATAAAAACAGAATGGGACCCAGTATGCTGCCTTGGGGAACGCCACATGTTATATGCTTGAGCTCTGATGTATAGCGTTGAATGACTGAATTATTCTGAAATCGTATTAACACCTTTTGGTAGCGGTTTTCAAGGTATGACTGAAACCACTGCGCTGCCAGTCCCCGGATGCCATAGAACTGGAGTTTTTCGATTAGCGTCTGGTGCACTACACAGTCAAAAGCCTTTGACAAGTCGCAGAAGTTTTGTGTTTTGTGAGTGGTGTAGTTGGGCGGAAGCCATTGCACACTCCTGTGGAATACATATCCAATTCAAGGCACAGCTGCCGAACTACCACAAAATAGCGGAAAGTACTATTGTTGCCTACTACTACCAGTGAGGCGCATGGCTTGTAACTACAGTCTCGGGAAACGCAATCTTTTACACCATTTTAGCCCTCTTACAAATTTCTGTTTAGAAAATGTTTAAATTCAACAGTAGTGAAGGGCCTCGAATCTTCTCTTCTGAAAAAGAAGACAGTACTTTGTAGTTTACTAAAATTCAGTTATTTCAGGATGTTACGCCTACGGCCTACCCTACCGAATAGGACAAAGTTCGTCGTTTGCGATAAAATCATCCCTTAAAGGCTTAAGGTGTCACTCGACCGAATCGTTTTTTAAACACCATGTCACCATCTATCAATCTTCGTAAGTAACTGAAAGTACAGGTTCCGGTTACTACAATTACTGCAAAAAAACGAATAAAAATGGAAAAAAGTTTGTAATCTCCAAATTCCTTTGGCCATGTTATGGCGATTAAAATCCATGTTTAAAATTCCTTGGCTGATGCATATTCTGCAACAAAAAAGGACGTCACGAATTAATGTCCTTCGCAAAGTAAACCACCTCTAGACATTACAGCCGGTTTATCGTGACACAAAAATTTAAAAAAAACTACTCGTCTTCAAATTTGCGTAGGCGCAGTGGGGCCGTTTTTCAGAATACAAAAAAAAATACAAACTTCAGAGATAGAAGAGGGGAGGGAATCGTTTCGCCACTGACCTAAGCGCACCCAAAAGCGTTTGGCAAGTTCAACGATGACGAAATTTGCATCGCGATTAAATTAATAATAAAATACCCATTCATCTTTGGTGTCAAGTTCGCCAAATTATAATTTAAAGGTTTATTTACATCAATTTGCGTAATTAATATTCTTAAAAATGATCATAGACACCAGTTTGGGAACGTCTATTTCGGTCGTCCTGGTTTTCCATATCGGTCGGTAAATTCAGGACGATCAACTGTCCGGTAACCCTAATAAAACGGCCGTCATCGACTGCGTACCGGATGAAATTTTTATTTTAATTGAATTTAGAGCCATATTTGTACGTCGGTAATACGGAACTACTCGTTAAATGAAGAAGGCGATACGACGAATTACTTCTAATTATGTCGCTCATAAATTGGAGCGTAACCTAAATCACGCCAGCGTTGTAATTTCATTAAATTAGACCTGACAGTAATTAGACTTTATAATTACTGCAAGTGCATATCTAGAGCAGTTGAAAAAAAGTTCGGTACTTAATGTAAATGGGGCAGCCTCTTCTTGCACGCGCACTTATCTGGTTGGCGCGCAAAAAGTAATAGTAATAACAGGAATCTAAATATTTATCGCCTGATTACACATGCTAAAAATGCCATAAATACTTTTGATAAAGAATTTTAATTATAAAAATTATTCAAGTGAAAAATTGCCTGCTAAAAAGAGCGTAATTAAATGTTATTCGGTTAGGCTTCCCGAGGGCGATTGTGTCCTTTTTTTTATACAATATTTTAAATGCGCCAAATCATCAAGTACCATATTTTTAATTTAAAAAAATTGATACATTTTCTTGCGTGCCGAGCAAGAAGTTAATAATGAAAGAGAAATTAAGGGAGCCCGTGACGCCGACCCAAAAAAGGGTAAGTCATGTTCAATTTTTAAATCGAACTTATTTTTATATGCTCTACTATCGAAAATTCGAAATGGTACAGTTTTAAGGCTAGTCAAATTCGAATTACGGATTTTTCCCTATTGGTTTTTTCCATTGTTTAACTCATTTCCACAAAAAAAATGCGCTGTTGTGGTCACTTTGTCCGTCTCGCCACTATAGATCTCGATCTTAAGAGCTATTGTTCTACTTTTTTCGCTATATGGTTGGTTATGGTGTCGAGGCTTGCGTTTGTTACTAAAAAAGTTACAGTAAAACTTAAACTTTTTTCATGTGCCATAATTTTACCCTTTTGCCGTTTATTGGGCTTATAAATTCTATACACTAAGATGCTTCTTATAAAATCAAATTGAAATGACGTGTCAAAGAATAGGTTGTGCTAACTTTCTTATTTGGGGACGGATTTTTTTATTGAGACATCGGTTAGATTAGATTTATTGAATTTGTTAATGTTTTCAGTAGGTATAGGAAAAACTGTCTATTTCTTCTCCAAATTGTCAAAATAATCGTTAAGGTTGTTACTTTACCAAAACCGTATCTCTTATAAGAGAGTAGGGAAGTGTTCCATTATCTATGCGAGGAGAGAGAAAATATACAGTGTGCGCCAAAAAGTAATTTTGATACCAAACTTGATATTGTTAATGGTATTTTTTAAATTCTGTCAAATTATGCATGGATTTAAAAAAATACTATTCCATTTAAACAAATCAACTTTGGTACCGTAACGCAACCTGTATATTTTCTCTTTGGTGCAAGTAATTCGCAAGAAAATAATTATGATAGAAGTGTATGAGCATTTTACACATGATTTTAAAACGAATGTGTTCCATATTTTGGTCGCTCAGTGTATTTTATATTTAAAAAAACTTGACGTTAAGATATATAGAGTGTTGCATTTAAAAGTGCCAACTGTGGGTCAAATCTCGGAAACGGTGGTAAAAATTTTTTTTGATTACGCCACTGGATTCTTTGTAAAATATCTAAAGCAGTTTTTACCTCTTTTCTATCATGGGTAAATAATACATTTTTATGCTGCTATATCCAAAAAAGTATACTCTTTAAGAATATGTAATGAAAACTAGTGGTTGGTATTTAAAAAAAATGTGCCCCTTTGACCATGCAGGAGTACGCCACTGACCACAAATTTAAATTACGTAGATTAGTAACAAATTTTATAATTTTGAATGCCTAAAAGCTTCTTTTAAAAAATGCTGTTTTGAAGATTCAACATTTCTGTTATTAGTATAGTAATTCATAAGACAACAACAGTCATGGCTATTGCTACTAATAACAGAAATGTTGTAATTTATTTTTAAATTTGCGAGTATACCAAAAGCTTAATAAAACAGGTAAAACAGTTTTGTATGCACCATCTAATTCTGAACAACTTTAAACTCTACAGTTTTTTCTGTAAAATGTACAGGAGGGCAGGATATTGCATAAAACTAATTTCCCACGTTAAATCCCTATGTTCCTACTTACCGTGCACCACCCGGTATATAGTAGCTATAGGATAGATACGTCACATATAAAATTATATTTGACAAATTTTTCATTATCTCCCCAAATAAAAGAGATATCGAGGTGACTCTCTTATCTCGAACACACTGTATGATGGTACATTTATGTTGACACCAGAAGTTTAATAGTCTCTTTGGTTAATTCAGTTTTCCACTGTGGATGTGGGTATTAATTGAAATTTTGAATTACTACCTATGTAGGGTACAGGTACATAGTGTCATTAGTGTCATTGAATTTATAACTAAATTCAATGATAGTGTGTAAAACATTTAATTCGGCAAAGTTACAGGAATGGTTCTAATTTGGTTTGCCCAAGGTATAAAAACAAGAGAGTGGTGAAGAGAAAGGTGTTCCAACTAAACTGAATCGAAAACACTTCATTTTGGAACTATTCTCCAAACGGTGCTAAACTTTTTTCGTCGATTTTGTAAACGTTTTTTCAAACCCTCATCTGGAAATGGGTATCTTTGAACAATGAATCCCAAATTACGTTTTGAAAATTTGGATCATAATAATTGCCACAAGATTCGATTCATTGTTAGTTTAACGTATGAATATTCGAGTGGAGCTGGATATTTTCGGATCGCATTAGATTTGGTCAAATCTGAATGGATTTTTTCAGATCTCTCCTAACAGTCTTAGGAATGTTATCGCGTAAAGATAATATTCATTGTACTGGTCGTTGAACACGCTTAGTCTATGTAATCTTCCAGTTTTTGTGAAATTCCTAAACGTTGATTGTATGTTATCAAGCTGTAAAGCAGGTGCAAGAAGTTCAACGCCCCATCCATAAACAAATCGTGTCGTCGGTATATACTACGTTAATTTTCTCACTTCGTTTATTAGAAGAGGTGTTCGTAGACATCGAAGTTGTTGCTCTATAAATTTCCAACAAACTAGATATTAATTAGACGCATATGTGCGCACATCAAAACTTTTTGCACTAATAACGATGTTTTTGCTTTCAGAGATGGCAGCGACGATGGTTTGTGCTTTACGATGATGGCGAGCTTAATTATTCAGTCGACGAACATGTAAGTACCTTACCCATACCATACGATACTTCCTAGAGCGCAACCCTGCGCATACTTCTGCTATCTTTAGAATACATCTTGATGTGAAAGCGACTATTAAATTACATTTTCATAAAAAATATTCAACTTTACGAGATGTGGATGTTTAAATAATGCGAAGGAATTTCAACAAAAAGCCGAAACGTCATATTTATCGCCTCTAAAGTGTCGTGTCAGTGTAGTCTTTAATGTACACGTGTTCGCTGTTTTGACGGTAGTTTTTCACAAATAGTTTTCTATTTTCGTGCGGTAATTGCAGTCCGTCGCATTCTACTACAATTTACTTTAACTTCATTCCTACACATCTAAAAAGTGTACGCCATCAATCAAGCGGGATGTCGCTCAAGAATCAGATTCGGGACCACATTTGTTCTATTTTCGTTCTTTGGACGTTAATTAAAATGTTTCCGCTTCGTAAATCACTGCGAAATTGCTGCGGTCGCTGTTTTGTCTTAATTGCAGTGGCTATTTTAATATTTGCGATAATCAAATTTTGGAATTTTTTCCAGTTTTTATGATACTCCAAGAAACTATGTAAGTTAAAAGGTTCAAATCCGTGTAACGTACTAATATATATTAGACACTCTGCATACTGTCTGGTGGATATATACAGTTAGCACGATTGATAATTCTATTCTGCACGCTGTACAGTGACTGTGACAACATACTTATACCCTTTTCTGCAAAGAAAAAGTAAAATATTTTCTCTGTTTTGCGTTTATAATGACAGTATTCCGATATCAAAAATAGTGCTGGAATGAGTTTCATTCCAACACTATTTTTGGTAACTATTTTCCACAACTGACAGATTTTTAAAAACATTTGGTATTCAGTGGTTGGCATGCTTGTCTAAATCATCCAGGCTGATCATATACGCGAATGTTCAATTCAAAGTTCTGCCTGGATGATTTAGACGTTAATACTTATCTCAACGGTTTAGTAAAATGTGGACTAATTTCACTTATTGTTATAACATTATGTTACAGTTATTAACGATACGGGTAATTGAAATCATTAGGTATTGAAAATTCAGTGTAGGTACTTAGAGAAATCCACATTTAATACAAATGAGGTTTTATAACCTAACAAAATTACAAAACTAATCTTTGTCACTAAATGTACAATTATTATAAACTTTTAGAATAATTGTGGAATTATTGCCTGGTAGCAAATTATGAACAGTCTCTTCTGCTAACTGTCGAAGCTCTGGAGGAGTGGAAGGAAGAATTTCTTCGCACATTATTCACTTTTTATTGAAAAAACTAAAATATACTGCACAAATTCGTATTTGACGCGCTTGTTAAATTGAATTTTTTCAAAATGTAGCGTAGCCAACTTAATTTCTTTATTGAAGTATTTATTACAGAAAATGTCAGAATTGTTAATTTTTTTAATACAATTAAAATGCTCAACAGAGAAAATAGTATAAAGCATATGTTGCAGAAGGCCTTTCTAGCACTCGTTCATTCGAAACTTGAACTCGTGCTAGAATATAGCGCCTTACTATTACTGTTTTCCAACAAAATCCATCCTCACCCAACAAGACGTGTTCTTGTACTCAGAAGCAACTCCTGCTGAAATAGAATGAGAAGATGCTGGTATTTCAAAGAGGAATTCTTGTACTTTATTGGTGAAGGAGCCTGGCAACAAATGAAATTAATGTAGATTCTGTACTACCCACAAAAGCTGCAATTCTGTCTGCAGCAGATCACCCTGTATATTTTCGGGTTTTTGAAAAGAGTGTAAAATGTGTATGTTATTTATATTAAATATTGTTTGTAATATTGCATTTTATACATTCAAATATTTCTCTAAACTGCCCATTTAGAATAATGGGTGATGATTCTCGCAGAATACGGTGGTGATCTGTCGTGTTGGAAAAATACCCTTTGCAATAAATTAATTGATAAGTAGGTATGTATTGAATAAACTGTTCAACTTGGTCCTGTAAAATTTGCAAATATCGCCGAGAATTCAGTGGTCCGTCATATGTATACGGTCCAATAAGTGGTCGTCAGTAAATACCTACCACATTAGCCCTTGAGTCCTTTCCTCCACAGTAACATGAGTTTCACGAGCCTAATGCGTTCGTTATACTTATCTGTTGAATATTCCCGCATTACTGATGGGGGCCTCGTCCAATGCAATTAGTTACACGTGAACCTTATCTTTTCGCATGTAATTCATCTTCACAATAATATAAACAAAGCGATTATTTAAACAACACCATCAAATACACATTGACCTCAAATTTGAATAACATGATCGAAATTGTGTTCATTCTAAATTTGCGATCATACATTTAACGTCAAAAATAAATGGAATTATACACAGACAGGGTGACCCAACATTACTGTCGGTGCTGAAACCAAATAAAACGTCCCCATGATGTAGATTATACAACAATATAAAGGGTGATTCAAAATTGAGTGCAAACATTTTAAGGGCGTATTTATCAGCCAAAAATAAGAAATTTTGTCATCTAATCGTATGTCCTAACTTGCTTCGTTTTCTAGATACATGGTGTAAAAGATTTTTTTCTAAATCCGTTTTCTATCAATTATTCAAAAACCTTTCAGCCGATTAAAAAAAATTTGGTAGGCTTAATTGTCGTCGTAAGGGTCTTTGAATAATCGATAAAAAACCGATTTTTTAAAAAAAACTTAAACCCCGCATCTAGAAAACCAAGCAAGTTACGACATACGATTATATGAAAAAATTTCTTATTTTTGGCTGATAAATACGCCCTTAAAATCGTTGCACCCAATTTTGAATCATCTTATATACGATCTTATTTTATTATTTTTTAAAATGCGCATAACATTAAATTTGAGTACACCTGTCTATGTTTTTAACTTTCTTGTTGACGTTTTGCTATTTTGATTTATAGTTCCTAGTACTGTAATTTCTTTTAGTTCATTTTCTTGAGCTTCCTTATTAATATTGTAATTTTCTCAAGATTTAGTGAAAGAACGATGGTGTCCTAGATTTTGTTGCAGCCTACGAGATATATATATCTCCAAACGGTTGCCGTCGTTTAGGGTATCTGTTAAAATACGCCGTAGTTTTCATACATTTTGGAAAACAAAATGGTGCATCTATTATTATCCAAATGAAAAACAACTTGCACAAAAATAACACTTCTTGCTTTAAAAACGTTTTTTACAGAATTCAAACACATGTTCCTATTATTTTTTTTTACTTTTCCTTTTATTGTTACTATTTATCTGAGTATATTTAGATCAGTTTTCGTTCCTTGTTTTTTGTGTGCTATTTGAAATTAAAAATATTTGAAACTAGGTAATAAACATTTCCAGATAACCAATAAATTGTTGTTTTAAACAATCCTGCCATATTTTGTCCACCATGGAAACCTAGACATGTGGAATAAAAATATTTTAATGTATAAAATACACAATATTTAAGAATAGAAATATGAAATATCACGAGTGATACATCAAAATGTAGGAAATTTTACGCTCTTTTCAAACAAAAACTTATTTATAAAATATATTGTTGTGTAAACAATGTCATGGGGACCTTATTATTGTCCAAACATCAAAAATAATGGTTTATTTCACTTGAATTTGTCTCTCAGTGTCGTTTGTTTCCTTTTAGAAATTTTGTAAATGCGTAATTTTTGTTTAAATTTTATCGCTTTGGGCGATCTATTCAATTTAGATAACGTGCTAGAGGTAAGACACATCTGGTCGTTTGTGATACGGAGTTTATCAGGCAAAACTAGACCGGAAATTTTCACAGAAATAGTGGGAACCTCTGTTAGTGAGTATATCAATCAGGTATTCTAAAGGTGCACTGGTCTATAAGTTTCCTTGAGGCATGCGAGTGAGTACTTCTGCGGGAACGAATTTATCCTAGGGTAGAATCCTCGGCGGCTGGAGGAGGAGGAATTCACCTGGAAGTGAGTGCATATCAGTTATTTTAAGGGTGATTATTATCCAAGATTGAGCTACCCTGAAAATGTTTCTGGGAGGTGAACTCTCGGAAGCAAACTTTGTCACGCTGGAATCAGTGTTATTCCAAGGCCCAGTTTTGTCAAGACAAGGACCTCTTAGAATCGTCAAGCTCTACTTCTTGTATTTTTTCTCAGAAGGGCTGTGATCTTAGATAGAGATCAGATTGCCTGAGTATAACCGCATTAACTTCTAACATATAATGACGTTGTCCACGCACGCACGCACAATAAAAGTGATTTATTTATTTATTTCCAGCATGTTAATGATGCTTCATCGACCAAAATTGGTTCGAATCGAGTCTATAATTTTTTGGGCAAACATCGTCCGCGTACGAATGTGGAATGATTTATCGCTTATTAGCATCAATTAATACTTTCTTTAAAAGTCAATTTGGTGACTTTGAATTTAATTAAGATCCGTAGGAATAGGAAAGCCCATTTCTCGTTAGAGATTAAAAAAAATGAAGCAGTTAATTTAAAATTAATTGCGGTCATGTTTTTAATTAGAAAATGTTAAAAACGTCCACTTACGGTTCGTCATTATAATTTATTGCAAAACGAATAGGAAACTATTAATAATAATACATATATCTGTATGGCTATATGCAATGCAAAGTAAGTGCATTATAAGTCAACAACCTGAATAAATCTTAGAAAAGTTGCACGCACGGACGCTTCCGCTCATCCACCGCTAATTATTTTAACACATTGCCTTTCTTTTTTTTCAGCCCGATACGGTGCCTCAAGGTTCGGTGGACATGTGTAAAGTAATGGAGGTGACCGGTGCCGAGCAAGTAACCGGCCATCCTCACTCCTTAGCCCTAACATCGCCCGACAGAGTTACATTCATTAAGGCGGCGAGCCGTGAAGACGCCCGCTGGTGGGCGGAACTGCTGGCCGTATTTCCTAGGCGGCATAAGCGGAACGCAACCTTTCCAGGTGGTAGAGCTTCACCCAGTTTGCCACAATTGGGACGTAGCGCTTCGCCGCAGCCGCCTAGGCCAAGGCACCTATCCTGCACCGGGCCAAGTCCGCGCACCAACTTTCTCACCCCTCCGCTCAAGGAAGAACGAGAATCGCCATCCAAGGAAGAAGCCCCACGACCGACCTGGTTACCGGAACCGTCAAATAATTTACCCATCGAATCACCACCAAGAACTGGTAAGCCTTTTCGTATAATAATCCAACCGGTTTTGATTTATCTGTGATTACATTTTAATTGTGGCCGTCTACTCGCCTTACGTTACTATAATCGCTGTATCATATATACTGTTACTTCTTATAATGGTTTCCGGAAGTCTTAGGCTCAAGTGAGTCGGAGATATGGGGGAAATCTCATCTTGCTAGGGTTTTGTTGCAAAGATATTGGACCTATAATTTACGCAGCGTCAATTACCTAATGAAAAAAATAGGAAAGGGTTAGTCTAGGAAGTTTTTAGGCATTCGGTCTAAGACTACCAAAAGGGAGCCACGTTCGGTTGCCGCAAAAATTGGATTCGAGTTTACCAGAGCGAATGAAACATTAATTTCTTGCGAGTTTTCCGAAAATTTAAAAAACGGCGAAGACAATTGGAAGCAAAAGAAACTTCTTCAGTCCAGGTTTAGCCGAATGAATATTTTCCTTCGGTAAGCAACTATAAGTGTTTAAGCGTAAATAAATTATTTGTGCTAATAAAAAAAAGAATGGAATTTTAAACTGAATGTTGCGTTTAGTTCTGGAAATAAATAAAGGGTTGACCTTTCTAGTTATAAAAAAAGTGCACGATTTTGCGTGGTGGGAATTTTCCCTATTACGGTAGTACAAAGGACGTTAGAACATTTAAAGAACAGTTAGGATTACACTCCTGTGGCAGTAAAAATTTTGCTTGCTTGCAATCCATAAAAATTGGATTGAACTCCGAAAAAACTACACCCAGACAGTTACGCCTCCCTCACAAACTCGTAAAAGAAAAGGTATCCGACGGAACAATCAATTTTACAGTTCGTATCATTTCACGAAGCATTGTATCGGCCAAGAATAACAGCCCTAAACCCGTTTTATGCCAACATTGTCGTCTACAAAAGGGCATTTTATACGAGGTACCGGTATTTTATTTATGTAAAAATAAGGGTTGTATATCTTTAAGATAAAATTTTCATAAATTGAGTGAAGTTAAATGTAGCCATCTCTGGAATTTAAAGCCGTTGGTATTGCATATATTTTGGTGAATTCATTGACATTGTGATAATGATAACTAATTAGTTTTTACATTTAACGGTACTTAAATATTTTAAGACAGAAACGTGAGTGAGATCAATATGAATATTTATTAGATGTGTTTAATTTTGCCTGATATTGTTATTGGATATAATGGGTTGGTTTTTTGGCCTTCATTAGGATGGAGCTGCAAGTGTGTGTAGCCCAAAGAAAGGTAACTTGGTTCAGTAGTTTTATTTGGTAGACCAATTACTTACTCGGATTTCTATCGCGATCCTCTCACTCACGCGCAGTTTTTCGAGATTTTTCCGATGCAAGGGTATTCATATTATACATGTTTAAAAAGTGAAATAAAATAGGTACTATTAAAAAAGATTGCAAAAAATATCTTGTCATTTAAAAAAAGAATTTATTTGTTGCGCTTTTGTTTTAGAAAAATTAAAAAATTCTATCGCGATCCTCTCACTCACGCGCAGTTTTTCGAGATTTTTCCGATGCAAGGGTATTCATATTATACATGTTTAAAAAGTGAAATAAAATAGGTACTATTAAAAAAGATTGCAAAAAATATCTTGTCATTTAAAAAAAGAATTTATTTGTTGCGCTTTTGTTTTAGAAAAATTAAAAAATTCCATGTGATAAAAAAGTAAATATAAAAAAACTTTTATTTGAAACAAAATAGGAATTCACAAAGATATACACTGTGGTCCAAGATAAGTATGTCTATCATGGGGATCTCTGAAACCATAGAATATACGACGATGTTCAAATTAGGGAAAAGTTGCGCAATATAGTTATTATCATGCTTCAAATAAAACCAGAAAATTCCGATTACCTCCGAAAATAAAATAAACAGACGTGCTGTGCTGATTTCGTTTTTATTTGTTTCTGATGTTACGTGGGTTATTCACTATAATTTGATCCCCCCTCCAACTCGTTTTTTATGAGGTTTTGCAAAAGTAAGTGTAATACAAAAGTTCATTGGCCTAAGCACAATTTACAAGGGTCTCCCAAAAGCGGTCTTCAGCTCCCCAACTTGAAAATTCTAAATGGGACACCCGGTATTATATTTGATCCTTAGATTCTACGTTAGGTTCTAAGATAAATCTATTGAAGTTTTTGAGGTAAATAATGTTGAATTTTGGCGCATAAAGATAGATGATTAAAATTAACCATAATGTGATGTTTGACAGTAATAACATATTGGTTTTTGCATGTCCAATAACATTTTATAATTATTAAAATACGCTTTTCACGTCTTTTTGCTCAGGCTAAATCTATTATAGCAATCTGTCTTTTATATCGAGATGAAGATACAAAGCCTCAGGTTTGGATTTTTTCAAAATTCAACAGCTTTAATCTCGAACGGAAGTTATATAAATCTATCTTCTATAGATTGTCTTAGACGTGGTCTAAGAATTTTCAAATTGGGGGCTGTGGACCGCTTTTGGGACACTGTATAAATACACTGTATAAATAATACTTATTTTTGTTCGAATTGCCGAATACGTCATAGAGAGTCCTAAAAAGTTTATTCTGCCTCGATTAAAAATACAAAGGCGTCATCCCACGCAACAAACCAAAAAGATAAGCTAGCGATTTCCTTAGACGTTTCGACAGAGTTGTCCTGTTGACCTGCTGAGCAGACCAAATGTGGATAGATTGCTTTTTTTTTCAATTCACCTGTAAGTGTCTACTCTTTTGGAAAGACATCATTACTTATTATATCAACGATCTTCGTCTTGTTTTCATGCTTCGAATTTGTCTTCTACGGTTAGTCTTCCATCGTGATTTCATCTCGTTACTTCTACTAAATCTGACATGTACCAATATGCTTGATGGAAGTACAATATATTAAATTCATCGGTTTCTCGAGAATAATTGTAGCAAAACTAAACTTAAATAGTATAGGTACCTGGGACCCATTAATTTTTTATTTGAAGATATAAAAGCTTAATTGTTAAATTTATCAAAGTCGCTTCGAAAATATGCGGTATGAGTAAATGGGATTTGACAAGGATGATATAGCAAGATGTCACTTTGACCTTGGTTGGGGCTGCTGCCTTTGAATGCTCATGCACCATGTAATTCCGAACTTGGAGGGAAGAAGGGGAGCGGAGCCCGTGGCCCGGTCCTAATTGCCGGTGTTTCGACACAGCCGGGCAAAAAATCTACGCTATAATTATCATTCCAAAACCGAAATTATAATCTTGAAGCGCACTTTAAGCTCGTTCGAAAATTATAATGCGTCGATCTCTTCTTAAATAATAAAAACATGTCAAAGTGTTACCCTCGTACGCGTTTCTACAAGTGCCATCCAACCACTAATTGCATCAACGAGGCCCTTTTCGTGCGGCAACTCCTTGTTCAGCAACTTGCGACACGAAGTGATTTAATATTTACTATCGTCGTAACTTTTTCACGACCACCCAAAATTTTACGTCCGAGCGATAGTCACGCAAGATATATAATTCTCATTACATAATCTCACGAAGTTTTTTTTAAGGCTTATTTAATTGGTAGAACAGAACGAGTTCGTCAAACAAAGAATTGTTAAACTGACGTTTCGAATTTGAGGCACGTGAACTTGTTCGTTACTAAATAAGGCGCTCTATCTAATCGAATATTCGAAAAATCCGCTGTAGTTTCATTTGTACGATTTCACGTTGTTACTTTACCTGCATCCTTTTGCATAAAAAAGGACCAAGATCCGTACGAAACATACTAAAACCTTTTTTAAACACAAAGTTAATTCAAGGGTCACACGAACCGCAAAAGACAAAGGTTTTCACAGTTTTTCTACAAAGCTATTTTATTTTTAAATAGCAATTCTTTATCAAGTAGTTTGACGACTACTAAATTGAGATATGCTGGATCTTGTATCTGGCAAGGATCGCCTTTTCCGTATCGACCACCGAGAGGGGAAACCCGGGGCACCTTTCGCATCTTCCATAGACCACCTCTTCGTTATCGATCGCCGATTAAATTTTGAAAGATCCTGATTGTATAGAAGCACATCAGCAATAACGAAACAAGGTGATTTTTCGAAAATAATTTCGCCAAATGCCCGAGATTTGGCGAAACTCTTCTAAATTTTAAGGTCCCCATAGGTTCTATAGGCTCTGGGGCTAGTTTTTTAGTGATTGAACAATTTCTGTTCCTCTATTTTTTTTTAACTATGAATCCATTCAAATCAATGGTTGAATTTGCAAAATTTATTTGGCAAACACGTTGACAGTGATAAATTTGATAAGAATTGTTGGTTTAAACTATTTCACACGGCGCGTATTGTTTAAAAACACTTTCCGTTTCCTTTACAAAGATACCAGAAAGTAATGAGGTGATGTCACTTCTTAATATGTACAAAGAATTAAATATTAATTTCTCATAAAGCTCAGATTGCACTCCGATTTGCAAGGAATGCAAGTGCTCGAATTACTAGAATGTGCAACATAATGGTTACGATTTATATACTATAGACTTACTGGCTCGTGTTGAGCACGCCATTTTATCTAAAAATAAATTACTCTATAAATAATACTCTTTTTGTAAGAACTTTTACGTGTGACAACCATACACTGTTGAAGAAACGCTGATTCATTTTGTCTGGTTCTTTGATCTTTGGAATAACGCTTTACATACAATCTGCGTGAATTTTCTACCTATGTCTGTCTAAGGGTTGGAGATCTCAACACTGAGAACACGTATAAAGCTGTAATTTGGTCGAAAGAATGAAATGATACGGAAAAGCGAGTGCGACGGTTGTATCACTATAATTCATTTCATCTTACTTTTGTTTCAGATTATGTGGTAAGTTCCGGTTCACCACCAACAAGAGATAAACTTCAGTGCGACGAAAAGTCTCGGGCAAGAAGGGATTGGCGTAATGAACGTCTTAGGGACATCGCCACAGCTTTAACCGATCGATCCCCAGAGTCCAGCTTAGCTTTACCATCTGAAGGTCTCTTACATCTAAAAAAGGTGCGCTTTTCAGGAAATAATTTTAATATCGTTCCTAATTTCTTAGTTCATTGCCTTATTTACGCATCTTCCCGGAATTTGTATTATCGCTTCCATTTGATGGACAAAAGAGTATTTGTTTCCAATTGTATTAATAGAGTTTACGTCTTTGTTTCACTGCGGAACAGATTTCATTGATTAATGAAGTAATTAATTAGAAAGTTGATTATGGTATGTGTTTCATAATTGTAGCGTCCGCAAGACAATTTATAAATTCAATTACTGGCCCTATTTTCCTTTCGCAATCAATAGCGAAACTTGATTTGCCAATACAATGAGGCAACATTCCGTTTATTGTGTGCCAAACTAAACTGAGCTATTTTAAGGGTTGGTTGTGGTTAAAAGGAGACGACAAGGAGTGGACGAAATTATGGTGGATTTTATGCGGTCCATCACTAAGCGGTTACCGTGACCAGGATGAGCAGGGAACGCCCGAAGTTACAGTGGAACTGTCCACGATAACGAGCTTTAACGAAACCACTATCGATACCAGATACGGATTTCAAATTCATTGGTCAGGATCGACGTTAACTCTAAGCGCCGTAACGGCCGGAATTCGAACCAACTGGTTGCAAGCTTTAAAAAAGGCGATGCCGGATACTCCAGACAGTCCTTTGACTCCTGCGACGCCACGTTCGTTGTTGCTTTCAAGCGACGAGGAGTATCGCACAGCATCCGAGGGAGGTAGAAGAGGATCGGGTGAATGGGGAGAACTGCCACCATCTCCACCCCTAACACGTACAGCACTCAATCGAGTGAAAGACAGGGCGAGAACCCGTCCAAGATTACCCCGATCGCAATCGAGGCAATCGACAGTCGATAGTGTTTCGACAGACGAATTAGACACAGCCAAAGATACAGCCGAAATCGAGCTACGTAACGTTTTGAATAAACAGACTGGAGAGATAGATGAACTCAAACGGCAACTATGCGATGCCGTGGGCGAAGTGAAAAGTTTGGAAAGCGAATTGGCTAGGTAAATTCGTTGTATTGTTTGACGGTTTCCAGTTCTTACAAGGGGTTTTGTTTTAGGTTGAAAAAGGTACAATCAGAATCGCTAGTCCGCAAAAAGCAGACAGATGAATTACTGGTCAACTTGGAACACACCGAACGCGAATTAAACCAAAGATTACGTGACGCAGACGAGAAGCACTTGCGGGAGCAGAGAAGTTTACAAAGGCGCCTGACGGAGGCGGAAAACCTCGCGAGAGACAACGAAGAGAAGTGTTCCAATCTCGCGAAAGATCTACAAGTTAAACAGTCCCTAGTGGAAACACTACAAGACGAACTGAACCGCGCAAACGATCGATACGCGAGAGACAACCAAGAAAACGAGCGCCTTTATAAGAAGCTCCAAGAGCTCGAGGGTAGAAACCGTATAAATTCTCTTACGGATTTAACGAACGTCGACTTAGACAATGACTTGGAAAATGCGACCCACAAAGAGCTGATTGAAACGTGTTGGGATTTGAAAAGTCGATTCGAAAAGGCAGTAATCGAAATACGGTCGCTTAAGCGAGAACTCCGTGAGGCTTTCGTCAAATGTGACGATATGGAGATAGAAAACGCCAATTTACGCAGCGGGTTAGAGATAGCGCGTCAGGAGAACGAGTCAAATTCCACTTTGATGGCGTCCCGATTGCAAGATTTAACGAACAAATTATGCACGGCGGAAAAGCAGGCGCGTAGCCTCAAATCCAAACTGCAAGATTCCAGAGAGAAACGCAGGTCGTTGTCGCTAAAAGGACGCGAGAGTGTGTCGATTAACAAAGAAGTTGAGGATAAGGTTAACGAATTAGAAGCCAAAATCTTAGTTCTGGAGAAATCGCGATCTAAAAGGAAGTACAAGCAGGAGCGCAACGGCGAACGAGCCTCGCCTATTGATGATCGATCTTCTCCCGTAAGATTTTTTTAAACTTTTATTTCTTTTATGATAGTTAATATCTTTTCAGGGACAACGGTCTCTACGCAGATTACGTAGGAAGTCGTTGGATAGCGCGACTACATCAGAACCCATGAAGCTTCTAATTCGTCTAAGCTCGCTCGAAACAAAAGTTACAAGTGTAGCAAATTCCAGCGAATCTTTGAATACGATAACGCCGAGCACGTCAGAATCTAATATAAAGCAGCTTGCAGAGCAGGAGGCGGAAAAGTGTAGCAGGACGAGAAATAATTCCATCACGGAAATAAGAGAGAGAATAAGCGAGTGTATTGTTAACATATCAAAATTGAAGAATGGTCGAAGTAAAAGGGCCGCCTCGCCCAGTGTGGATAGGTTATCAGTTTTGGAAAACAACCTTTACGAAATTAACGACATTTTGAATTCCGACACTTACTTTATAAGCTGTACAGAGGCAGACGTCGTCGACAAATCCGTTAAATCGGTGGTGAAACAACTGGAAACGATTCTGAGGGAAAAATTAAATGACATGGCGGAGAAAAAACGCATATTGAGGAAAAACGGCAAACTGGACAGTAATGTTGAGCTTTGTATCCTTGCAGAGAAGATGGCGTTCGAAAATATACTGATTAATCGAATACAAGAGTCCCTCGAGGCGCCGATATCGGGAGAGATTGAATGCGATCGACTGGTAAATAAGGAATTAATCGACACGTCGCATTTAATTTCGTCCCTGCAAGATAAACTGCGCAACTGCGCGCAAAAACAACCGCCCGCGAGTAAGACGAGCGTAGAGTACCTGACAAAAATATTAGCGAAATGTCTTATAAGCGCGGCGCACGGTTTCAGCAAACACAGAAAGTCGATACGCCGCTTCGTTATTACGCCCGCGATCGAATCGCTCAAACGCAAGCAAGTTCAGCTGAACGCGGCCTTTTGTACGTACAAAACCACAAAGTTACCACAATTAGCAGAGACGTTGGCCGCCGAAACTGTAAACTTGGCGTACGATACGACGTGTCGACTGAGAAGTCTCGATCAGACCATCATTAACGACGCCTGGTCGACCGCTCAAGAGACGGTTAATGCGGAATTAATACAGTCGGAAATTAATCACATACTCATGCGAGCAGCTCAGGTAAGTCTTTTTATTTTGTTAATTTTTGATATTCTTATAGAGGATGAAATAAAAGTCTTGATGTGGTTAGAAGGACCAATTTTTTAAGTCATAATCACTCTTGTTTTAAGATTCAGCTAACGAAATTTCTTTTTTCTTTCAAAATTTCACCTACCTACCATGATCAATTGCATGAAAAAGGTTGAAGAAGGGATAAATTCCGTTCCGTTCGCCATGAAGAAAATTTTCTTCAGATGCTTATGATAGTATGACATTCGTCTTTTTCTATTCAGTATTGTTCTCAAGGTGTAAAGGTCAATATCAAAGCAGTAAACCCGTCGACACTAGGGGGAAACAAGTACAACCAAAAATTCAAATTCAAATTAATTAACGTTAATTCAAAATCATCTTTCGATTGGTGTCATTATGAACCCTCTAAAATAATATGGGGAGCAATGATCTGCAAAAAACATTTTTCCCACGTTAATTGCCTATGTTCGGTTTTGAAAAATTCACCCGGTATAAATGCAAACAAATTCACATCAATACAAATTAATTCACGTTAATTGAAATTTATTCCAGTTCATTCAAATTGATTCACGTTAATTCAAATTAATTCTAGTTAATTCAAATTAATTCACGTTAACTCAAGTTAATTCACGTTAATTCAAATTAATTCACGTTACCTAATTCAAATTAATTCGCGTTAATTCAAATAGGAGTGTACACCAAAAATTCAAAGTTGTGTCCCCCTAGCGTCGACATGTACTCGCAGCGTGTCTATCTGCCGGATGGACTCTTTGAGCCGGTAGTGTTGCTTTGTCGATTTCGTCACCTACTACAGCAAGATAGGTCTCATAAATTCGCTTTGATTCCAAATGCAGTGCTGGAATCATGGATAGAATCTCAAGGATCCATGTGGAGGTTGTGCTGTACCCTCTCGTGACTTGGAGCCAAAATGGCCGTTGGACCGAATCCAGTATTGCCCTAACTTGTTACTGTGAGCACCTGTACTTTGGCACCATGCCAGCCGTGGTGCATGGAGATACATGTTATGTTTTTAATAACAGTTTGTGTAGGTCCCCAATCCTTTCCCCCAATTTTGACACCAGCGCGCGCTCTACCGCGTTCATGATCCTGAACCAGGTTTCCAATGCGGCGGTCCTAGGCATGACCCTCGTGGACAGCTCTGCGTGATGCACTTTCCGAACCAGTCACAATTGTGCGATTCTGCAGAAAGCTTGTTGTGGTACGGAAGATGTTGCGGGGGATGCCGATTTCCCCAAGTCTCCTTATTATTGCTGGGTGCCGAGCCATGTTGAACACTTTCAGCTGGAGGATGACCACTGCTGAGTGTAGTCAGTTGCATTTGATAGTTACCTGAGTATTTGGTTTATAGAGGCGATAGTTGACCTTCCCTCACGAAAAGGTGGCCCCCACCGCTCCATGTAAAATGTGAGCAGGCCCCTAGTTCCCTGGCGCACTAAGAGTGGCGCTTTTGTGCCTAGTAATTTTTGTAAAGGATCCATCAACCGTAATTTCCAGTGGGGGCAAGACCACCAGGTAGGGCTCAGTCCCACTATCTTATATCTTCCCCTTCCCTAACGTGATCCTGGAGGATCTTTCAGAGAAGGGGAGGGAGGGGGGAGAGTCACCGTCAATGCTATTATTATTGGATGTAGACTTAAACACAGAATGCATCATATTTGTCTTAATAATACGTATGTTTTTATAGGTATACGAGGCGAACAGCAGCTCCGATCACAATTTCTTCTTCAGTTTTTTCGCATCAGAACGGGCGGCATTGGAATTGTGGTCCAATGCAGTGGAAGATCACCTACACATGGAAATGCAAAGCAGTATAGAGGAGCTTAGCGAATGTTATCAGAACAGCTTAAACAAACTTCAAAGGCAGAACTGGCGACGGCGGGTCGAGTCGGAACGCGGCGGTAGTTTCGCCAATAACCTATTAAACGAATTCGCCGACATCGTCGCGCATAAAGCTTTAATCGACGCTCGTATTAGTGTGCTTAGTGGCGAATATAAGCAGGCCGGTACGAACAGAAGTGCGGATGTTTCGGACGATTTTGTTGTAGATTTAATCGACAATAACAAATTATACGACGAATTGGAGAATTCCGGTTTGGTACAAATTAACCAAAGTTTAGATGCAGAATTTAAGTGTTTATTAGACAGTTATAAGGACGAGTGCCGTGATATTGTAAATCAGTTAAATTTAAATGAAATAATTCGCTCGTTACAGTGCTTAGAGGAAGAAATATACAAGATACAAAGCTATGCAAGTTTGGGTAGTTGTAGTCCGGTAACGACGCTTCAGGACATTCACACATGGCCAGAAGTATGCGTTCGATGTCAAGAATTGCAAGAACTCTTAGTCAAGGTCCAAATCTGTTTTAGGAATGGATCAAAAATGTAAGTCGGCATCTATGCAATTTAAACGCGTGTTTAAACGGCGCGAATTTGACTCGCGAATCAATCCCCGCGCAGTATAAACAGTTGCAGAGCGCGAATCACAACTTGCGAGGCAGATGCACCGTGAGCGGCCGGTTAGTCGGTCTCGAACGCGCATCAAAGGATACTCGCACGAAACAATTCGCGCTATGTAAACCAGTTGGGCGTTGACTTTTTCAGCGACGTTCGATTTTTTTTTTAATATGCTGCAACTTTGGCAGATGCTGCAGTCGCACGTGGATAGACCATTTCCATGACTGTCTCACAGATACTGGGGGTTTAGGGTGACGTTTGTCTCACTGCGCATCAAATTCGCGGGAATTATGCGCGAGTCAAATTCGCGCCGTCTAAATGCGCCTTTGAATTGAATAAATTCACGCATTCATTGCATTTTTATGCTCCTCTGCTTCAGAAGCCACAGTATGATTTTAAAGCATTGTCAAAGCTAATATTCATTTTAATGTAGGTCCGAAAATGAAGAAGAACGAAGACGTTTACATTTAGGAACAGAGTATCACATGCAAGTCGAAAATCTCCGTGGCGCATATCGTCGTATTCTCGCTACCAGCATAAACAAATTGCAGCAAAGCGATCTTGAGCAATTGCAGATTTTGTGCGAGAGGGTCCTCCTGGCAATGGAGCACGGCCATCGCCGTACTCTGCAGGATTTGCGCGAAAATCACTCGTCGGAATTGCAAATTTTGCGACAAGAAAAAGAGCAGGCGCTGGCGGAGGAAACGCAAGCCACGCTCGCCGCGCTGGACGCGATGCGGAAGGCGCACGAGGCCGAGGTGCAACGCGAGGTGATCAAATTCAAACAAGAATTTACGCGACAACAGCAAAATGAGCTTCTCGAGTTGACAGAACGTCTTTCGGTGAAATGCTTAGAAGCTGCTGCGTTAGAGGAGCAGTTAGGGAGCACCACTAGGCAACTAGCCCACGCACAGCAGCATATACTCCAGCTTGAGCGGAACCCTCAGCTCTCCGCAATGCAGGTATATGTAGAATCGCAACCTGCAATCTAATGAGGTTTTGTTTATTTGTAGAACTGATGGTGTATCCGTTCACCGTTTAACTAGTCCTGGCAAACCCTCATACGTATTATACCATAATTTTTAGAACAGTACAATATTCACCGTTGTGTACAGATTACAGCACCCTTTATATCCTCTCCTCTTGTTTGTTAATCTTTTTTGTAAGATTTGTATGTTAATGTTAGTGTATTTGTTTCTCCGATGTATCCAGAATGTACAAAATAATATTGACAGTCATGTAATTGCGTAACAGATTATTATACCACAGTTATTTGTTTATGCAGATGTGTTGGGTTTATATGGATTGTTTATAGAATTTTAATAAATTTATGTCTAATTAATACATTCGTTTTTTCGGAAATACCCTCCTCTCAGAATTTCCACTTCCACCGAATTTTCACTTTCACTGAATTTCCTTCAACATTGTGACAAAATATACTGTACCAAGCTAATTTTTGTTATATTTTATAATGAGTTACGAATAATATTGTGTGCTCAACTTTTATTTATGTTACAGAGTCATTTCACTTCTGAACTAGTAAGGACACGGGAATGTGGTTTTATTTAAGATTTCTAAACTTTTGTTAGGATGTATTATCTGCTTTTTCTTTATATTGAGTATTTGTCTGTTTATTAATTACAACTTCATTCTATGTTTCAGGTTATAGCGTCCATTTCGTCTGCATACTACGTATTCTATCAGCTCATCATTTCATTATCTATAGTCATATTGTTTTTCATAAATCTTGTGCTTCTTTGATTATACTTTTTTCTTTTGCTTTTCTAGGTAGCAGTTTGGACCCTCATGACACACTCATTTTTATGTAATGTGAGAGAAGATTTGAGAATCGTAAGAAGAAATGGAATTGTTTGTCGAAATAAAAAATTACATGCTAAACTTCTACATTCTTTTTTAATAATTTATCGCATCGTTGGCTTGTAACTAAAACACCCTAGCCCCAGAAATAAATTAATGCCTTCTTCATACACACATATACATACAAGTGACAGTTAGAATTCTATTTGAAGTTGCAAAAACCTTCAATGACGGTTAAACTAACTGTTTTCCAATAACAAATACACACAAACACAGCTGTGTTTTAACGTAAAAAATTCGATTATCTTCTAAAATACTTTCCCTTTCCTTCTTAAGAAAATAATGCTCGTCTTCAAAATGAAACTGCGCCTTGCTCAATATAGCGATAAACACGTCTTTGCCTTAAAATTTAATTACCGTACTCAGCGATAAGAAAACTTCTTATTGACGACCAGAGAAATACATGAGATAAACTAAACAAATACCAAGCAAATAATATCCAGGTGTTTAAATGTAATCTAAAGAAAATTAGCAACTAATAATTCTGAACAATCGTAATCAAACGACATAATCTACATTGAGTTCAATCCGAACCCATGACCACATCTAACTTTAATAAAAACACTGAAATTAGGCATACAGGGTGACTGATTACTGCAGGTAGTTTACACAACATATATTATGACATGGAACTAATACTTTGCCAGTACCACATAGCGGAATGAAAAATATCTGTGGAACCTGGTACTTGATCAGTGTTCCAACGTTGTTTGTTTTAGCCTGAAACTAAAACTATATATGATCGATTGTTAACGATTCCTACCATTTTCTCATAATGCCATTGTATTATTTTTTTAAATAACTAAATTGCCAACATTCAATACTGGTATACGAGTACCTAGTGATTGGAATATGATCTTAATAATAATATTTTTGTTGAACCTATTTCTTTGCAATTTTATCTTGTACTAACTTGTCCGTTAAATTTTTATAATTAATATAGTGATTCTGATATTGGTAGTTTAGTTTTGGCAACCAGTCGTATACAAAATTCAGTTCCACCCTTTTTCTTAAGTACGTTTGCTTTTTTTCCCTCGATGACAGCTTCAGGTACCGCTTCAAAAGACCCATATTACTTTAACATGTGCTTGCTCCGATGAAGCCATGGTGTCAATAAATGAACTAATCCTGACGACCAATGCATACTGCGATTCTACACCCTCTTGGCTTATCACAGTTAGGAGGACAACCAATGTCGAAGATTAAATTACCTATGTCACAGATACACTTTTCTTTACGTATACCTGTTGATGTTTTGATTTTATGTTATTTAATGATTTAATTTTATCCCTCTCTTGTTTTGGGCTCTCAACAGGCATGCGCCCAATTACAGAGTGACCGCATAATGCTATTTAGAGGTGCCTCTGCAGAAGGTCTTAAGTTGGTACTCCGGTATTTACCTTACGAATTAGGGAAACTGCAGGAAAACCTAATTCGGAGTAGCCGGTAGAATGCTCGGAACTGGTCTAAGGTAATTTCCATCTCCGCCACAGATGAAAAATTCACCTCAATCCAGGTTCGAACACCCGACCTCCGGATTTATAACCCAATGCTCTACCACTGAGCCATAAATCCGATCAATGATCAATGAAATAAAATGAATACAGATCAAAAATCGCGCCCGGCATATTCAAGTAACTCCACGGCTACCACATGCAACAGAAAGGTTACTTTGGAGTTTATTCTCCTTCTATGTGAAACATTTTACAAACTGGGCACAAATGAATCATGATTTTTTAAATTTCCAGGTGTGGCTCATGTATAATAATCACCTTGGTAATTCCTATAAAAATTAAATTTTTCTCCAATCAATAAACTTATTTGATAATATGTATAAGCCCTAAAAGACCATCCAATTCATCTTCCAATGGACATATCTATAATCCACGCCATACTGTGAATTTTAAAAATTATCTGGATCCCATAAACTACTCGTATACTTTTGGAGTTCTTTTAACCCTAGTTTACTGGCCACTAAAACTTTCAAGTTTACGGGCGTGGGGTGGAACGAACGCCCCAGATAGAAAAGACTTGAAAGGTACTCGAGCTTCCAGGCCAAAATATTGAAATAAAAAAAATTATGGACCTTGAAAGTGGCTGTGGGGTGCGATCCATCAATAATCACAGAATTGCTAGCCCTCCAGTTAGCAGCTTAGATATATTTATTTTGTTTTTTTTTTACAACTACCATACCTACAATTAGTGTTGTGATTTCAATATTCAGAATATGACTTGTCCACTCCCCTGTAGGGGCGGGAAAGAATACCCCTACCGCAGAGGGCACTGCGTGTCGTAAGAGGCGACTAAACAACAGAGGCTTGCTGCACGATGAACTGAAATACACAAAACCCTTCCTCTATGGATAATTTAATATGTCGAGTTTGACAAACGTGGATTGAAGTTGATTAAAAAATTACTTGATTGAGAGAAGACCGTGTAAATTTAGAGTCACGTCTAATATTAATTAATTTGACAGCTCGCGTTAAGAAGTTATCAGTGAGTTGATTGTGTGATTAAATACAATTGTGGACAAAATAATAACCGTGTAATACATCTGTGAGATTAGCGAGTTTTCAGCCCGCCTTTTCTGTAATTTGAAAAGCGTGTTTATAGGTAGTAATCATTTTATTCTTTCTTGTACTAACCATTTATCTTTAAATTTCATATCAAAATTTGTTATTATTTACATTTTGCATAAAATATTTGTTATTGAAGCAAGGCGTAACTATTCCGTGGAGTATAAGTACCTCATACAGTACGATTCTTCGTTATATCTGTTTACTCATTTCGTGCGGACTGCAGCTCTTGTGTCTTAGCATATACAAGAAAAGGGGGGTCCTCTAATGTTAGGTATGTTTCTCTGTATTAATGGTTTAACTATTACCGCGAAGGAAGTACCTAATACAGTTCGATTCTTCGCTGTTTCTTCAATGACTTGATTTTTATCCTACCATTTTTACTTGTTTTATTTTCTCTTTGCCGTAGTTGATTTATTTCATGCATTTGTGTGGGTTATGCCTGGGATTTTATCCCGAAGATTTCTTTGGTGTTGTGTGCGTAATGTTCTTGTCTTTTCTCACGCACAAAGTTCTGAATTTTATTTAATTCACGTTCCGATTATGTCTCACGTTCCAAGTCGTAAAATAACCGATTACACAACGTAGGAATTAATTCGTACCGCGAAATGTCCAACGTTTCAACTGGAAAATTAGGTGGTTCATTTCCTTCTCTAAGGTTCAGTTTGTAATTTTTCCCCAGAGTTACCACCTTATGTATAGGGTCACTATCACGTGAAAGGGCCATGTTGTTGCTAGTCTTTGCTTAACTTAAAAAATACCTACAAAATATGTTGTAAATACTTTATTCTTAAATCTTAACATATAAAAATTGCCAATAAAAGCACTAGCTAGGATCACATTCACAGTTTAAAATGCATAATTAAAATGTAAACTAGATAAAATCAGCTGCTTTGGTAGTAATACGAAGAGACCTCATCAGTCATTCACAAAGCTTTAACACAAATGTGTTGCCAATTGCCCTAAAAACAATGTCAAAATGATTCATAATTCAACATGACTCCCACTTACAGAAATTCCAACATTCCAACCAGTTCCAGCTGGATTTTCCAGACAAATACCGTGCCTTTTTAAAGCAACACCACCATCAGTTACAGCCCACACTTCTCGATTCCCGGCGCTGACTTGTTTAAATCCCGTAGTATTAGGAGCCGAACCTAAACATATCTTTACAACCTTTTAATGGTATGCCATTAGTACGTACTCAGAATGGGCGGGTCGGCGGTAATGCACTGCCAATGAGTTCCTTCGGGAAATACAGGTGTAACCTCTTTGCGGATGTACAGTTTTCCCAATTTATCCAAAACCCAAACGCCAACTTTTCCAACGGACACTTGTTTCAGTTGCACACCCGCCGGCGGTTCGACACTAGCCCAAGAATCCCCCTCCAATTTATCTTTGGTTATACCAACCCGCCAATAAGCACAGCCATTTTTCCCTATAACCCAGACTTGGTTATACGGTCCACTACTAATACTGCTAAGTGCTTGGTCAGAACCGACATGCTCCCAAACCGTACCCTATTGATAACGTGAAACTTGGAGGACTAAAGGAGGTGTTTACTTACCATGGGACTTGATGGAGTAACGCCAAGGCGAACCATTGCTTGCCCACCCATAGCCAATCCCCAGACGGATACAACACCGTCTACAGTATCGCTTACAGTTTCGAGCGACACCTCGAGTAGCTTTGTATGGCCCAGTTCTTGCCATGGGCCCGTGGTAGCAATGGCACACCGACGATACCACCTACGCCGCCGCACATAATCTGTGAAATGTTTTATAGCATGATATGTTGACGGAAAATCCATCGCATACTGCCATCCTTCACGATCAACACCACCAGGTACATGGAAATCGACTAGCCAATCTGAGACCCATTGCCAATGCATCGACGGTAACTTTACTTGATCTCTTGTGCGTTTTTGTTTTCCTGTCGCGTCACTCCACATATGTCTATCAGTTGGCAGTCCTAAAGAATAAATAGTGAAATGAACTGGAATTACCAACTTAAGGCAACATACCCGTTGACGTATAACCAGAGACCGGATTCCACCTCTGATTCTCGTACAAACGGTAATCTTGTGAATCAGTCATCGAATTAATATTGTGACTATCTAAGCTTCCTATAAAAGAACCGCCCCATCCGTAGTTATAAACCCAGCCGGTGTGATCGTAACCGATACCCCATGTGACTCCTGAAACACAACTCTCGACCCTTCTCAGGTGACCACCTAGTTGTCTCCAGAATAAATCGCGCGGATTGATAATCGGTTGTGGATTTTTTACAACGAACTTGAACGGTCGTATTTTACCCCAGATTAGTGCTGTAATCACGGAATGGGGCGGCAGGCGGTGCTTGTATGTGCAGTACCTCGTCCCATTAATATCAATTATGTACTCCTCAGTCCCACTAATTATCTTCAAGCTGAACTCCTGTCCGCTTTTTATCGGCAAATTCCCATCGCGTTCTTCTTCCCCCCACTTTCCTTCGATCATCGAGTTTCTCACTATTATATCGTCAGTAAATCGCGGATTAAAATGTAGCGCGGTGTTTTCCAGTTCTGTATACGCCTTGTGACGCAATTTGTAAGTTATGTGTAAGTCTAAGTTTATGCCGACCCGATCCACGTCGTCGGCAACACAGCCTGTTAGTAGCAGTTCTGTACCAGGAACACAACCGGAATGTATGGGTATCGATACCGGGACCTCTTTTCCCGCTAAGTCTATTTCTTGCACATAACTATTATCTTGTAGCTGAGAGGATTCTAAAGCTACTGTATCACTTACAAAAATATCGCCTAATGTTGTAACCGCCCAAAGACTTTGTTCAGGTGGTTTACCTAGAATTGAAGCTGTATGTACAATACTATTATAGTGTATGAATGGCAAAGTTTTGATCCAATTAAACGCCGATACGTAGGTACGATAAGTCGTATGACAAATCGTACCGTCTGTAGGGCGTTTTAGTCTAGTAGTTGTTTAAATATGTGTCAAATGCAATTATAAAATTACCTGCAATCGAGTGAACTTGTCCACAAACAAAAATCAGATGAGTTTGCCACTCCTCAAGCTGAGAATCACTCGAAAATTGAAATTTAATGCAATACGGTGGGAGATGAGGTGTATGCACTGCTAATCTCGGACAACCCAACTCACTGCAGCATTGCACACACGTTATATCGGTTACACTAAATTGATGCTGAAAACTAAATTGTGCAAATGTTGCAGAAACAAAGGGATAATACCATTGTAGCAGCTCCTTCGAGATTTAAGATTGTTACAACTCCATTTGTATGTACCCATTCCAGCTGTAGAATACATTCGATAAAAACGCTGCCTGAATTAGCGGGATTTAAGCAGACGCGCGCCTCGCTTGATTGCATCCATGACGTGGTATCCACAGCAGTCGGGTAATGCGCGTACATTTCTACAGCCGGCACTCGCTTCTTTAGATTGTCTAATATCTGTAACCGCCAAGGTTGTTCCAATTCGGCTTGATGTAACGTATTTGCCTCAATAAACCAATTCGGTAACTGAGAGGGGTCCAGCATACACGCGCCGGCCTCCACCCAACCCCACGAGGTTTCCAACTCGGCCCAACACAACTCCTCGTCTTCGGTGTAAAAAATACTCGAGTTTCCGAAATCGTCCGCCTGCCATATGCTATCGTCAGTCTCTGGGTGAGCCTCGGTACCGACAACCGAACCGACCGACCGTACCGGACTCCACGCTTTGGGATTTTTTAATTGAGTTTCGAAATGTTTCCCCGTCACCTCTCCCACTGGTAAAGAGGTTGGAGCAGTGGGCGCCGAATGAGATTGTTCTTCCCATTCCGCTATGCCAGCCGTTGTTTCGCTAATACTGTGCGGTCTTTGATTCTAGAACATATGCAGCACATTAATTTGTGCAATTACACATTAATATGGATACGCCAGATCCTGCTAAATCATTTTGGATTCAATCTTGGACAAAGACCTCCTATTTTTCGAATTTTGAATCTTCAATGATGCAGTAGACCTTCCATATTAATGACTGGCATTGTGATGTATACTAGCGTATTGTGTTTAGCATGAATCCTTGCGATTTGAAAAATATGAAGCAACTGGATTTGGGTGAGGTGATAACATTAAATAAATATACTGTGAGCCAAACGAAAGCAAAACAGAAGCAGGTTTGGGTGCTGGGGAAGTTTCTTTGATGACTCATTTCATGGAATAAAGGTGTTTTGAATTTCGAATACTTCGCATAGTATTTGAATACTTAACCTTCCTTTTTTTTACCAAAAATCGACTACACCAAAATTTCTTGGGAAAACACATTTTCTTATTAATTTTGGTGCGTAGAATCCAAAACAATTCGTACTTTTTCGATTAGATTTTTCAATCAAAATTCGAAAGAAAAATCAAAGGGCTGTAACTTTTGAACTAGTAGCCCAATCTTGGAACTGTTTGAAATTATGGATTCTACAGGGCAAAATCTATCAGAAAAAGTTTTTTCCCGGTCGATCTCAGACAATTTTTTTTTCGGGTCTCAAAAAAAGGCAATGTATAACCTTCCTTTTTTACAAAAAATGGACTGCACCAAAATTTCTCGGGAAAACACTTTTTCTTATTAATTTTGGTGCGTAGAATCCAAAACAATTCGTACGTTTTATATTAGACCTCTCAATAAAAAGTTATGGAAAAAAACAAATTTCCAAAAAAAATTCAAAGGGCTGTAACTTTTGATCTAGTAGCCCACTCTCGATTGATCTCGATCTCAGACAATTTTTTTTTCCGGCCTCAAAAAAAGGCAGTACTTTTAAGTTATTCAAATATTTGAGAACAATTTAGAAATGTTTAGGGAAAGTTTCCATTGTCACAAAATCAAATATAAAAATCCGATACATCTGAATACCGAACTCGATAGTCTACGTAACTTAAAAACAATAGGGACCTTTCTTATATCCTTAAAACCATGTGTACCAATTTTCAAAGCGATCGCATGTTTCTAAACAAGTTATCATGCACACGGACAAACGGATGGTCAAAAATGGATCTGTTCCAAAATCGCTAGGATTAATTTCAGAAAGGCGTACGTATCATGTGCACGACGTACGATCGCTTTGAAAACTGGTACACGTATTCTTAAGGATATAACTGGTATAAGAAAGGTTCTGGTAGGTACCTCCTATATAATAATACGCTTTTACTCCCCTTAAATTTGTATATAACAATAGAAATATAAAAAGCTAACCCCATACAAAGTATAACTTGATTTTTTAAGTAGTATTAACCCTTTTATCTAGTATACTATTTTATATTTTTAATGTATTTGAGTGACAAGTATTTGAATACTTTTTACTGTATTCGAATACTTTTCAAAGTAAGATAATGAAATACTTTTTAAAGTATTCGAATACATTCTAAAATATTAATACTTATTTTTTTAAGTATTTGAATACTTTTCAATGTATCTGTATCTAGTATTCGCTTGTGCTGGACGTAAAAGTATTTAGTATTCAAATACCTTTGATTTGTGTAAAGTATTTACCATTTAGAATTCAAATACTTTTTGAAAGTCTTCTGCCCAGCTCTGGCACGAGATACCATATAAAAAGGTATAAAGTAGGATTTTGCTTAGTTTGCAGCAACTTCATCAATTCTGTTTTTGGGAAATATTGTAATGCCAAAGTATTAACAAAATTTAAAAAATTTAAACCACAATAAACTTTGGAATTGCGTGTTTAGTTATGTTAGAGTGATCAATGTATTTCACAAAGAATAGGTTCCTGAGGCAGAGTTGTGCGTTATTTAAAAAATAAAATCAATAACCTTTAGTGGACAGGTTTTATGTTTTCAGGTAATGTATAGTTTATGTTTACATTACGACACGTCAAATTTGACAACTGATACAGTTTTCATTATTTTATCGGTTTTCGCTATATTAACCGATAAAAAATCCGTTAGTTTCATAATGAACAATTACAGAAGTATAATTTCCGTAAGTCTCACTGCGATATTCTGCCCCAAAAGTTGTAGAACCAAAAAATGCCATCGAGTTTACCAAGAAAAAGTAAGCAACTCATTTCTAATCTTATTCGTTTTTTTGAACGAGAAAGGGATCATGGTGGTCCACTTTTACCATCCGCAGCAGTGAGAGGTGAGCAGTTACTTTAGTAATATTAGAATTGGTATACGTAACAAGTTTCATTTCACAGAGAATTGCGGATGCAGTAAATATGGCCTGCGAACAGTGACTTCCATTTCACAAATTTCTTAATCGACCAAACGTTTAGAAAGTCCTAAAAGCAAGGGAGTGTAAGAAACCCATTAGCGATGGTGATCGTGAAACACAAGCAGCGATTTGGAACTCTGTCTACGACATGATCCAACACGGTAAGTTAAAGCACACGTTGAACAGTTGAATGTAGTGTTTGTGTATATATTATCAGCAGTTTAGCTTTGTATTTTAGAATACCATCTAACGATTCAATCGCATTTGCAAGTTCTAAAAGAACGCGGCATAGGCTACCTGTTACAAATAACCACTGAAATATTTTTTAGTAATTGGTCAATAGAAGTCGTTGATGTAATGGCTATCCTACCCACAATGCAGTACTATCGGTATGGTTCATACATATTCTCTTCCATTGTTGCATGATGCAATGTAAACATACTTAGTGATGACGTTATATTATAATACATCGATGACATGGGCACAAATTAAGGAAAATCCTACTTATACTGTATAAAGATAGGTGTGGGCGGTGGCGAGATTATTAGACAAAAGTATTGCTTTCATGTTTGTATAAAGAATAAATCAAATAATAATACCAGTCCATTGTTTTTATGTAACAATTCTATTACCATGGACCGCCCACTAGTAGTCTATACAGCAGACCTCACACTATAGTGGCACCAAACATTCTACTGTTCAAGTGCCATTTGCCTGAAAATGAAATGCAAAAAGCAATAACTTTTGTCTTTAAAGCATACATGCAATAACATAAACTGTGTGCAGTTGTGCATTAGTGATATGTCAACTACATAAGGAACTTACAAGCGAATTACAGCTACGATGAAACTTATCCCGATTAAGACTTGCATTACTACTGGCTCTACTAACTTGCTGAGGAGCATGCAACGCTCTCCAACGTTTTCCAGTGAGATCCGCCAAAGTTACTCCGGCTCGAAAATATATCACCCGATCATCGGCGCCCACCCCCCACACTTGATCATTCGCCGCAACAGAGACCATGGACATGCGTCCCACCATTTCCACCCATCCACTTCCGGCGGCCAATTCCTCGCTTACCCCCGCGCCCTCGCCCTTAACCCCTTTTCTGAACCATACCTGCTTATCTTGAGTAACCGCCCACACGGCGCAGGTACCTACGGAAATATGTAATATACGTGATCTCTCCACGGGACCTCTTATTTCGACCCAAGACTCGCCGGGCAACGAATCTCTGGTCACACCTATACGAACAAGAGCTCTACCATCTAGGAGCGAAGCCCAAACTAAACCGGTAGCTCCCACGCTAATCTGATTTATTTCACAGCCGGGAGGGACCAGAATAGAATTCCACTTAGCACCTTCGGGTGATTTCGCGGAGACGCCAGTGCGAAACATGACTCTATTATGTGAGGTGACCGCCCAAACAAGCATAGTACCGGGATCCGCACCGACTACATTATTTCCTCCAACCGATATATCGATAAAGGGCTCCTAAAATTAACAATCATAAGGCGTCAGATAAACAATACTTACAGTGGTCGCATCTTTATGCAACGGAGCAATGGCACACCACGAGTTCATGGCACTGTATCTACGAGATCTAACCCATAATCGCCGTCTGACACAGCTTGACCATTGCTTCTTTGGGTAATATTGGGAAGGAAAGTCAACAGCGTAAGTCCATCCATTATGGTCTAAGGGTTGTCCCATTAATGTGAGTTCCAACTGCCAATCACCCTCCCATTGCCATGCCATAGATGGTAGTCTAATCTTGTCGGTCGAACGGTCCACAGTTCCATCGGCAGAAGAATAATGGTATCGGTCGGTTGGTAGTAAACGTGAGGTAAATCCTTCAATTGGTATCCAGCGCTAAATATCATCAGTATTTATTACACTTTTGCGCGAGAGAGGTGCGAATGCATAGAGGACTAAATTAGCTGCTTTCTTTCAGAAGCATTGGCTGCTTTTGTTTAATATGAACCTACATCCCTTTCAGTGCTCTGGTTTCTACCAGAGCTTTCTATACACTTTTCACACCTTTCTAGGCTTACCTAGCTCAGGAAAAGGCAATTTCACATCCTTTTCAGAGCCCATGGAAAGCACATATAAGCCTATTCTGGAAATTACTTATAAAGCTTTCTAGAGTCCTCTGGCAGCTTTCCAAAAAATTTGAAAAGGTTCCTAGGCCCAAGGTTTTTCATTTGTCTTGAAAAAGTTGTTTGGGAAGAGTATAGGCCTAAGTGCTTACAACAGATTAAGAATGTAAATATTGAACCGCAAGGGTGTAAGGCTTAAGTCATTACATCATCAAAGGGGTTAATTTGAAATGCAGAATTTGGTCTTTAAAGTCCGAGTATAAGATAAAATCTTAAAATGGCCTTTCTTACGTCTTCGTAGAAAAGTCATACCTCATTCTCGTATGATTCCTCGCGAACCCTTATTGGAATGTCCAAACCGTGCACGTAAACGTAGACTTGATGGTCACCTCCCAGAGCCCATAAAAAGTGGGGTACGGCGGAGAGTTTCTTAAATTCTTGACCTACATAAGGCAATTCCCTCCAGAGTGAACCAGATGTGGAAAGCGTGTGAACTCGCCCTTCGTTATTAATTGAGAACAGTAAGGAACTTGGCATTCCTCAACATTTACCCTTCTGATAAGGAAAATCATTATTAAGGATTAATTGGCTCTTAATTCGCTTACTCTAGATACGATCGCAGATAAATTCAAATGATAATTGATGGGATGGAACCGTAAACAAAACGCTGTCAAGTAGATCAGCTGATGATGACAGATAAATCAATCCACTGGTTGGGTGGTTTCCTTTCTGTATAGGATGTTTCGTAAGAATAGTGGCATATGACGGCCAATAACCTGAATAGCCACCTCTTCGAGTGGTTTTCAGAACCTTATGATGTACATTCTGTAATTTAACCGTATAATAATTTTTAAGACGCGTTCTATGCCCTTTTCAGACCTAAGAGAGTCCGGTTTTTTCTACATAGCACCCCAATATGTGTGATATAGAGCTTTGAAGGCCTAGCCATTAGACTGCCCACAGCTACAATTTACAGATATCAGGGCCATTAAACTTGCTACTAGACCCTCCCTGGCGCACGTCACTGGTTTTTTGTTTGCCTGTTGTTTGGTTACTTTTTAGGTTAGGTTATCATTCAAAAAATGGACTGCCTAGAAGAGGAATCTTTCGAAAATAAAGATTTAGACAGAATGTTAGAATTCGAGACCCAAATCTTTTTAGACATCGTACACCAAGACGGTTTAGTTGTCGCTGCCAAGTAATTTTCATGTCTACTAGCGAATCCTACAAAAAAAACATTTTTCAGGGGCCTCAGTATGGATACGGTGCTAATAAACCTGTTAAAGGTGTACAGCGATCCAGGAAATTTAGTGCTGGTCTTAAATTGCTCGGATAACGAAGAGAAACATTACGTGGAAAAACTTAAAGGCGAACATACACACAGAATTACATTCGAAACTAGTATTAAAGACAGGTGTTTGCTCATTTTGAGGTTTTTTTCTACTTGTTGCTTCGTAGGGAGGAGATTTACTTGTTGGGCGGTATTCAGTTTATCACTACAAGGATACTTGTGGTGGATTTGTTAAAAAATCGTGTTCCAGTCGAGCATATTACTGGAATAATAGTTGTGCGAGGGCACACGGTGTTGGAGAGTTGCCAGGAAGCTTTTGCCTTGCGCTTGTATAGGCAGAAGAACAAGGTTTGTGCGTCGCAGTGGCGCCATCATAATTATGTTATTTTCAGACTGGATTTGTGAAAGCATTTTCGAACAGTCCACAAAGTTTTACAGTTGGATATGGGCACATTGAGAGAGTAATGCGGGCACTGTTTGTCAAGGAAGTGTACATTTGGCCAAGGTTTCATTCCACCGTAGTGCAAAGCCTGCGTGCACGAGAGGTCAGTTTGCTTATAGACTAGTTAAATGATGAACAAGCCTTTCAGCCTCAAGTTATCGAATTGCAAATACCCATTTCTGACACAATGGCCAAGATCCAGACCTGCATTCTTGACTTGATGAATTTAACAGTCAAGGAATTGAAACGTGTTAATAAAACAGTTGAGCTACAGGTATTTTGTTTTATCGATTACATTCTAATAGTAGATGACTTGCAGGAGATAACTGTTGAAAATTGTTTAACAAAACAATTTCATAAGATACTTCAGAGTCAATTAGATTGCATTTGGAATCAACTGAGTACCAAAAGCAAACAGCTTGTGGCCGATTTGAAGACTTTACGCCATCTTATTATGTACTGATCCTTAATTAGAAACACAAATTATTCATTACTTTGTTTTAGAACTTTATTGTATGCAGATTCAGTCACTTTTTATAATTTGGTTTGTAGTTATCGTACAATGGAATATGCCCAGACGTGTACCTGGATTTTGTTTGAACCCGCTGAACTGATGTTTACATATGCCAGCACGTTGGTATTTTCTGGAGATAAAGGTACTAATTACAACGCATACAAATAAACATACATAACACAAAAATAGAGACAAAAGAAAACAAAAATACACACTGTAACCACTTGTTTTTCTCGAGGTTTTTGTCTGCTTTTCAGTAATTCATACTTTGGTATTTTACGCCTGTATTTTTGTTTGACTTCAAGAATGGGAAGGAGTGAATAATGACAGGAGTTACCCTTGATCGTTGTCCATTCACGAGGGCTTCCAATTTTTCCACACTCTTATAAGAGTGGCTAAACAATGACCCTTGTAGAATACCTCTGAATGCTAAACAAATTTTTTAATCCAACCAATGGGATGTTACTGAAATTAAATGCAATATTCTTTATCAATGAACCAAAATAACCCAAATCCTTTGTTTGGATTGGATATCAATAAGTACAATACAAAAACTGTTCATGCAAATTGTTCTCATAGGTCGATGTCTTTAGGAATATAAAAATGAATATGCACATTCCTAAAAATAACCGCCCATGACTACTTTATACAAATCAGAAAATTTAAAATACATAATTGGCATGGATGAGATTGCTTTGCTTTTGTACCTAGGGTACAGCTGACTCCATGACAAATGCAAAACAAAAATGTATTATGTATTACGAATCCGAGCAAAACAGCTTAAAATTCGAGAATGAGTTATAATATCTATTCGTTTTAGAGTTAAATCCAGAGTTCTGCCCAAAATGGCATGCTTTAAGCGAGATTCTAAAAGTCGAAATACCCGCCGATATGCAAAAAGAGAAAAGCAATGAGAACGGCACAGTACTCATATTATGCCAAGATAACAAAACATGTTACCAATTAAACCACGTAAGAGCACACTTTCGCTTACCGCTTTACGCACTAAAATTTGCAGTTTTTAACTCTCGGCCCCCGCCACTACCTTTTCACAATGGCCCTAAAACGCGGAGTGACATTTAAATCCATCAACAATAACTTTAAACAGCTGAAAGAATTGCCCGAATTTAAAAATACACCAAAACAAACACAAAGCAGGCGAGAAGTCAGCAACTTTAAGTTTCCCAAGAAGGCGAAAGTGGTGAAGGAAAGTAAAAACGAGGAGGAGGCCAAAAGTAGCGAGACCGAGGAGGAGGTAGACGACTTCAAGGATTCTTACTGTCTTACAATGTCACAGACAGTTTGCGATGAGAGTGACTCAAAGACAGATTCGGACTGCATGTTCGAGCCATTTACCGAGTTTGAAAATATGAACTTGACGCAATTATGCGAAGCGGCAAAGGCGAACGTAAATCCTACAATTCTCATCCAAACATTCAGAAAAGCGGACAGCACATTGGAGTTGCAAAACGTTTTAGAAGAAATCAGGCCCAGTTACGTAATAATGTACCACAGCAATATTACAGCAATTAGAAATATTGAGGTGAGAGGATGGTCTCTTTTTTTTTGATTTTGTATAACTGTGTTTAGATATACGAAGCGCGTCGTAATAGCACCGTTCCCCTCAAGGTCTATTTTCTAATTCACAATGGAACAGTCGAAGAACAAAGTTATTTAACATCACTCAGAAGAGAAAAGGAAGCTTTTGAGTATTTGATTAGCACAAAATCTGTGAGTATTTCGGGCTTGATCCCGGGCTTTATACTAAACAGACTGTTTTAAGACCATGGTTATTCCCGAAGATCAGGACGGTAAAACTGACATGTGCCTAGCTTTGCAAAGGGAAGCCGTAACCGCAGAGATCAACACGCGACAAGGCGGCGCATCAACTGCTCCCGCCAAGCAACTAGTAATAGTTGACATGCGAGAGTTTCGTAGCGAATTACCAGCGTTAATTCATAAGCGCGGTATCGAAATTGAACCGCTTACTATTACTGTAATTGGATCTGCCTGTTGAAAGTGTTGATTCATTTCTAAATTGTAGGTAGGGGATTATATTTTAACACCTGATATTTGCGTCGAAAGGAAATCTATATCAGATCTGATCGGTTCCCTAAATTCTGGCCGTTTATATCAGCAGTGTACCCAAATGAGTCGCTACTATAAAAAACCCATGCTGCTTATCGAGTTTGATCAAAATAAAACATTTTCATGGCAGCAAGTAAGTTTCTTGCTTTATTGTGATGAAAATTTGGTTCCAATTGCCTACAATTATTTTCACTTATATGGAGAATTTTCCCAAACAATACTGAGCATGATTGGCCACACATTTTCTTTAGCATACGAGCACATTGCTCCCTCAAAAACATTTATAATTTTAGAATCAGTTCATGATATCCACTGATAGTGACAACTCTGAAATTCAGAAGAAATTACTGTTGCTCACCCTGCATTTCCCGAAGCTTAAATTAGTGTGGAGCGCAAGTCCATACGCGTCAGCGCAACTATTTGAGGAGTTAAAGGTCGACAAAGACCAACCGAACGTGGAGTACGCGACGGCTTTAGGCAACGAACAAGACCTAGATTTAATCGAAACAAAATACAACGTCGGCGTTTACGATTTCGTTTACAAATTACCGGGAATAACTTCGAAAAATATCGATCAATTTATGAGGCGTTGCACTAACATGGATCAGGTTATCAAAATGACAGAGGTTGTCATGATAATGTGTCCGTCACTTACTAAATACTGTAATTTTAGAATGAACTGCAGCAAGTTTTGGGAAATGCGAAGGACGCTCGGAGCTTGTATTCAATTTTACATGAGGAACACGTCACCAAAAAACCCTCAGAACAAGGTGTTGGCAAAGGGAAAGCTAGGGAGAAATTTAAATTTACTAAGAAGTGAGGTAATCAGGATAAAATACAGGCTGATCTAAACGAAATAGGTACACCCCCTTTGTGTGTAAAGATAATTTCTTTTAATTTATTCGAAGTAAATTTTTTTTAAATTTTGAAAGGGATTTTAATGATTGCGATCTATTAATTTTTTTTTGGTATGGTTTTGCGGTAGTAAGTAATAAGTGTTTGAAATATGTGTAATAGGAATTCTGCACAAAAATTCTTCATTTGGAGATTTTATTATTAGCATTCCAAACTTGCCTCTGCAATTTTCGCACACAGTAATACAATAATTTAAAAAAAAATGTATTGTTAAGATTATGTCACATGCAGAAGAAGGTGACGAAATTAACATTAACTCTCTTTCTCCTGGGGGATATTCCACACCCTCCAAATCCCCCGGTGATATGTTCTCACCCAAAACGTTCAGCATAAGGACTCTTTCCAAAAAAGATGATGTTAAGTGGTAAGGGTACTAAACAGTTTGGGATGTATGGTGGGGTTGGGATACCCCTGAGTAAGGGGGGGGGGAGGACTTGCAGACCCATCACGATTTATAAATGAGTTAGAAGTATGTGATATGCGATCCACGTCGGGTGTGTCTTTTGTTGCAAAGTAAATGTGTGGTTGAACTTGTAATAATAAAAGATCAAAATTCAAATTTACCGCCACATCATAGCAGGAGATGTCACGAAAAAGTGGAGTCGCTGGTTTCGCTTACCCTCCTGATGAACAAAAAAAAAATGGAACACCAAAGAGAAAGGTGCATAATTATGATCAGGATGCACGGACCTCTTTTTTTTAAGAGGTCCGTGTCATGATGATAAATCTAGTTCTTATTTTGCTTACTTTATACAGAGTGTTACATATGAGTATTAAAAAAAGGGCCGTAGAGGAGCACTTTTTCCAAATAAACCTTCCAAAAGTGGTGAAATTTGCATTTCTTCTTTAATTTTTTCTCAGCAATCAAGAGTTACACGTCTCTGAATAATAATAATAATAATGTCTTTATTAGCACGAACATAAAATAACTACAGTAAAAAAAAAGAAAGAAACTAAACATCATAATTGAATATCAAATGCACATGCTAAAGGCGCAGTTCACAGGGAGCAATTACTTGCTACGCTGTACTTTTCCACTGAACCCCACAATAAGTTTTGTGATATGCCCTTTCCGATTTTGCAAAAATTAAAAAAAAATTCCTGCTACGAAAGGGCGCACCCCTTAACGGGGGTGCGAAAAAATTCTGATTTCGACAAAATTTGGTATCTGGGAGTTTTTGAACATGAAAATCAAGTCTGAAATTGGTTTTTGAAAATTTAAAAAAAGAAATTCCACTGCAATTCTTGGTCAGACAATGAAAATGGAGAGAATTTCACGAAATTTGTTGTGTACATACTTGATGACCTAAAAATCAAATTGTGGAACAGTATCACTTTTCAAACAAACGTTATACTCATTTGAAGATTGGTCCTTTGGTCACAAAGTGTCCTCCGGCTACTAGTCGCGTTATCTAATTTCGCAATAATGTTTTTTTTTCCTGTATAAATTAAGAGTTGGAATATAATAGGTAAAGCTTGCACCAGAATATAGTCGTTTCGGAGGCGTCTATATAAATAGTTAAGAGTATTATCCCAATTTGAGATGAAAGAAAGTAATATATGTTATGGTTTAACCATGCATTCTAACTGCTGGAAGGCTTTGCATAGAGGGTAATGGTGAATTTCCTAGAATATCAGAAATATTTTGGTCAGAGATGACTATACATTTCATTTTGAAGTACTCTTTCGTAATTATCAACCGATTTCGACCAAAGTTTAAGGGTTGGTGTAACTCATAAATATCTCGGTCAAGTTCGGGAATCATATTGGAACAAAATGGCGGAAAGAAATCTACCTACACCTGACCTGCAAAGTAAAAACCATAAAAAAAATCAATAGTTCTATATTTTTGTATATAAATGCACTTCGCTTTCCACAAGATAAGATGAACAAATCACAGATAATGGCACAATTCAAATCAAAAGGTGATAATGATTGCACATTTATAAATCCCCTTTAACTGATAATTATAAAATGTGATAATACTTTTCAATTAATACAAAGTTTAAATAAAAACCATTAAAAGCTTATTTTAATTAGTAATTAGTTAATAATACCAATGCCACCACTTATATATTACTGTCAGCAACCCCCAATGTGATAAACGTAGTCATCAAATGATTTACATGGTTTTAATTGTAAATCATTGATCCCACGAAATAATGAGAATGATTTTTCAAAATGCCCATTTAGTGTATATTTGAACACCCTGTAGGTCTTATACATTAAAGACCATTAGTGTGTATTACACCTCAAATGAATTAGCACGTATAATAATACTCTTTGGTGCAAGTTGGTTACCTACCCACTTGATATAATTACTTACAGAGATTACACGACATTAAGTCCCATTTTTAAAATGGGTTGTATAGCAATAAAAAATGTTTGATTTGGTCATTATATGTACACATTGAGCTAATTTAACTAAATAATTTTGGCAAGCGAAATTAAGGCAGAGTATGTAGTTCGTGAACAGTGTATAAATTATCGATGCGATCAAACACGACTGTAGTGACGTCCAGCATTTTCGGCAAAGTGGTAATCGTCCGTTCAATTTCTTCTGCATTTTCACCGCATAGCTACAACCGTTCAGTCAGTATATAAACCAGCGTTTATGACTTACCTTTTTTAAAAGTTGTTCTCGTGTTGGCATAGTATGCATTGCCAATCGGGCTCCGTTGCGAACCACAAAAGTGTGGTGATGTGATAAGGTCTTGTCATAAGCTGCCCTCCCAACTGGGGATGTGTTTTCGTTATCTTTCAATTCGCTTACGCCTTTGAGGAAGACTCTCAGGAAGTCTAAACCACGATGCAACCTTAATAAAGTACGGCTGCCAGAAGTAAAATCCTTTCTATCTAAGAGTTTGGTCTGCTTTTCATACTCTATCATTTGTTTAACAGTGGTATAGTTCTGCGAGTTGTTTGAGTCTTTTAAATAATCGTATAAAATATCCATTTTCGATCTTAAATCTTTACTTACGAATCCGAAAATCACACCCATTAAGTTGCAGAATCTAAAATGACATTTAGGAAATCTGGGGGAGCAGTGCAAAAACTTACTTGTTCAATTCTTCATATCCGTCTAAGTACTCCTTCAGGGCCACATCGTTTTCTTCGGCCAACGATTGTTGAAAATTATTGTGGATTAATGAGATATCGAAATTACTCATTTTTATTAATTTAACTTGCGCTTCTAGTGTAACATATGGAATAATCAAATTTATCTGGCGTAGGTAATTAATAAATCAACAACGTCCACTCTTCACGATAACCTCAAAAAATATCCCTTCCCCCACTTGAGTTAACTACTCGAGTGCAGTTGAACTATTGACTGGCTTTTGTGTTCCTGATAAATTCAAATTTGGGATTCATTTTATTTTTGAATGTCTATCACATTTCTGTATCTTTGAAATCATTGAATGTTGATAGTGGATGTGGAGATTAATACCCAAATGTCTTACAAATTTTAGAAATTGTAGGAAGTAGTTAGCTTGGTACCAAAAAAGATTCTGATTGTAATGTCATAGGAACGAAAACTTCATTTTAAGTATTGTTGTGTGTGTCTTAATATTTCGTTAAAAATTCCCCAAATTCTTGTACATCTCAAAAACTATGAGCACCGCATTCATCGATTGCGTAGTAAATATTTTCAAAAACCGAAATACGCAGCCTTCTTCAACAGCTGATGCACCCTGTGTAGAAAATGAAGTCTTCTGTCCAAGATTTTTATTTAAGGTTGCAGTTTCATGGGTTTTGGTATGTGTGGAAATAATAAGAAACACTATCGATTTAATCTAATTTTTAGTTTTTCAGGCGACTTATTCTACCAGAGTACATCCAAAACCCACCAAAAGTGGAGGAAACCTCGCCTAAGGCATGCTCTAAATGTTCGAAACTGAAGCAAAAGTGCCCTATTAGAAGATAACGCTATATGTACATATGGGATGAAAAAAAATTGCAAAATATATATATTTTACAGCGCTCAAGCTGAAGTAACTGCTTTTGATATTTATTTATAAGAGTCACGACGTTTATCTTTCTCTTAAGTTTGTACATCTTGTCAAAAACTCGGAAAAAACGTATTTTCGGACCTGGAGGAGAAGATATTCAACCTGCAGGGTTGGTACTCTGTACTCCCGAAATCGGCAGCCGTTTGCCAAAGTACCTATATTTTCATGATTCTTTACTGGGTAGGCATTCCATTTCAAGAATCCAATATTGCGACAAGCGTAATTGGAGGGAGCAGTTTAGTAAGTTAGGCATGTGATATTTTTTAAGGCAAATGACAAATTGTTTGCCATTTTCCCAATTACTGGAATCATTTGTGTTGTGTTCTCGAGTTTGTCCTGAATTTGTCTACATTACCTTGTAAGTGACGATCCTGTTTGTGGACCTCTGAGAGTTTTGGTGGGTTTATAGCTTTATCAGTTCACTATCAAAAATCATTAAGAATTAGCCAATAGAAACAAAGGTTTATTATGTGTTGCTAACCAACGAAACTGTCCTGCTACTTTAGTGAACTAATGATAATGATTCTATAAACTGACCATAAATCTAGGGAGACCTCCTCTTTCTGGAGCCCATGGGAAACTCTTGATGATTTTTAACCTTGAACAAATCCAGTAACATGGTGGAAAAAGTTTATAAAAAATTCCGATGTGGCAACATCGCTGCGTTGCCATATGACCTGTTCAAAATTCATAAATGTCACTAAATCATAAAATTTTAAATTCTTTTATGTAATCGATTTGTTGCTTTTAATTGCATGTTTTTTTCATCATGATTTCCAACAGAGTACGTATTCCACATCGACTAACCTATCCAATTAATATCTGCTCTCAACACGCAGGTTTTAAGACCCCTATTTATATCGGCCGCCGCCGTTGTGACAGATGCCTCGAAATCTGAGCATCCTCGCGATTGCAAGTGCAAACCTAGCGAGTTGCCCATTTATACGAAAGAGCCCGAGTGCAAACCGCAAGAAATGTGTATAACAGAACCGGGACCGTTAGAGTCGACCATTGGTACTGTAAGACGTGCGGTTGTAACAGCATTCGATCAGACCAAGCAGATTATGCAAACTACCGAAGAGTACGCACACACCGCTTTGGCGCACACCGAAGGTAAGTATGGGGCAGTAATCTCTCAAACTAATTTCTCTTAATTGCAGGCACAATTACGTACTTACGGCAGGAAGAGAACGTAGTGCCCAGGTACGGTGCCGTGGCAATTGGTGGTTTCAGTGGTTTTATCTTTGGATTGCGAGGCGGATTTTTTAAGCGATTTATTTATACATCTGCCGGAGCACTCGGTATTGCTGCCATTTGTTATCCGGCGGAGGCAAAAGAATACTCAAAAATTGGTTTAGGATACGTGATGATTGCCTATAACTTTATTGTTGGAGGTACCCATTTGCACTACTTTTACAGCTAACATTAAAGGTTCACTCCACAGCTAAAAAAGACGATCCTCCTTTGAGCGTACCGTCTTTACCCAAAATGCCTGATAGCTTATCAGAGGCTTGGGATACAGTAAAGAGTTTAGGTCAGTCTAATTCTGTTTCCCTTCCAGATAAGGAGGAGAAGATAAAAGAGGTAACAAAGTTTAGACCTGTCGAACTTCCCGCTTCCCAAACTCACAGATCCTGTAATTGCCCGAACGAACTCCCTGTACCCACCTCCAATGAATAATTGTTCTGCTGTCTTATACAAGCAAAGTGGAATATTTTATTTCTTTTTTTCTAGGCGAATAATAAGGACGTAAAAAGGAGCGATTAAATGCTAAATAATTGCCTGTTGGAAAACCTAATAGTGAAATTTTTAACATGTTCAACACCGCTAGTCAAGAAATGTTCGTATAATTCATGCCGATGTTATTTCTTTATTATGTTTTAGTAATTTTTGAAGCTGGACGCTAGTATTTATTCGCTGGTATACAAAATAAATTGTCCTTTTAAATGTTGTGTTTGTTTGCAAAAGTGTGTTGTGCAAAGTATATTATTATACATGGTGTCCATAAGGTATGGAATAACAAAATGTTTCAAGTAGGTAAAAGGTGTTTTGCGAGTTATGATTATTATTATTCTCAGAGCTGGTCTTGTATCAGTTCCCTGTGTAGGCCGCATTGAACCCTTTAGTTTTAGTCTTGCTCCTCCTCATATGCTGCATTCCCAGGTGCACCTCCTTATTTATTTATTTATTTATTATCCCTCTCTTGTTCTGGGTCCAATTATTACCTGTTCCTGCGACTATGTTATTTTTAAAATAGGAATTAAAGGATTATAGATGCTCTCATGAGATTTATCCTTTGTTTAAAGGTGTAAAGTTAACGGTTTTTGAGATCTTTAAGCATTAATGGAAAATTTGGGATGCTTTGACACCATACTGTATTTGTTAGTGTTGGTGGTCTATGGTACATTTGCAGAAAAACTAAAAATTATCATTTTAACGATAGCTGGTGATGGAGAACGCTCTGAACTCTCAATAACGCCAGTATGTAAAAAATGAGGGTGGTCCGAGAGCACAAGGAGCAGGGTCAAACCGTCGTGTCAGTCAATATATGCATGGGGGCACAAAGAGAGCTATCTGCTGGTGGATGGGGGTACAGAACAGCTGTGCCTTCCCTGCCCCATTGGTAAAGGTGCTCTGTGTCCCCGTGTATAAGCAGTGTACCCCCATGCATATAGTATAAGGAGTCTGACCTTACCTTTTGACCCGCTCCTTGTGGACCCTCATTGCCTATGAGGAGACCAGCACCTCCATTCTTTACTTGTCAAGGGTATAAATACCTATTTCGTTTCCATTTTGACTCGCTACATATGGGAATACATGTACCACAGATTAAAGGTGTTATGTGCCTATACACAGTGGTCGAAGTGGCAAATATTTTTTACCGGTATGGCTGAACTGATAAAATCTTAGTATTGTATGTATGCGTATATTATAAAAAAAACGGTCGTCATGCCTATGTGGATAAATTTTTTACCGGTATGTTTCACAAAAACTAAAAATCTATCGGTATGCCATACCGCCTCACTTCGACCACTGCCTATACATTAAAAATTTGGGTAGGTAGCTGGTTGAGTTTGCTCCAAGTCACATGAATTAATGCGGTGACTTGGAGTTGGAGCCGGTTTCATAAAAGTATAATTAACGGTCATAATCCATATCATTACGTGTTAGAAACAAAAAACACTTTTGGTATAATTCGTAGTGGATATATAACGACTGTAAAATGAGCAAAACAAAAAGATTAACCTTATCACAATGATTAAAATAAAAACTATATTACTCCATTTCAATTATGTAACAGACAAATAAGATAATAGTCCCATACAGTCTACAATGAATAATAAATCAGTACATCCTGTCGTGTAGACGAGCATAATAAGTACGGCATCAGCATTAGAATTTAATTTAAATATTTTAAATTTCGCGCTCTGTACATTCACCCCCTCCCCAGTGCATTGTTTTGTTTTGTCATGGCAATCTTTTACGATGCATTCTTATCATCTGCTGTGATTTAAGTGCTATAATTATGTATAAATATTGTGTTAGTTAAAAGTTAGTGAAATAGGAAGATAAAGAGTATTTGTGCTAATGGGTATTGCATGTTTTTATAAAAATTTTACATTTACAATTCCCCATCCCCACCCCACAGCCTTTATTTACATGTTTTACTTGCGCACGAAATTTAAATTTTAAATGCACACGCTCTTGGGCTGTTTTAACCTTTTTGTACCTTTAAAATGTTTCATTTCAATAGACGTAGGAGACACATTTTAAATAATTGTGCACAATATGTGTCAACTAGCCAGCTTCGTGCCGGGAACAAATTTCGAGACATTCCAGGACCGTTATCTTTACCGGTTATTGGCACTTTACACCAGTACCTACCGTTCATTGGTTTGTTGTCTAAGTCAAATTAGTCCCATTTGTAATTGCTGTTCTCAGGTCCCTTTAGGTTCGATCGGCTTCACCGCAACGGCTTTAAAAAGTTGAAACAATATGGACAGGTCGTGCGAGAGGAAATGGTACCCGGTGTGAATGTCGTCTGGTTGTTTAAACCCGAAGATATAGAGATTATGTTTCGTTTCGAAGGGAAATACCCGCAGAGGAGGAGCCATCTTGCCTTAGAGAAGTACCGCTTAGATAGACCAACCGTTTACAATACAGGAGGTCTTTTACCTACGTTAGTATGCAGTCTTTAGTTTTTAATTTGTAACTTTTATGCTTTAGCAATGGTCCAGAGTGGTTACGGTTGCGGAGTGTCTTTCAGAAAGGGCTGAGTAGCCCCACTGCTGTACAGAATTTTATACCTGATGTAAATGATATCATTCAAGAGTGGTTAAATCGTTTACAGGATGTTTGCAAGACACCATTTTTAGATTATTCGCACGAACTGTCCCGATTGTTTTTAGAGTGTACGTATCATTTTAATCGGTTTTTTTCTGGCAATTGTAAATAATTCTCACTTTTTTTTAATGCTTCTAAATATAAATGTAATTAATAATTGCCAAAATAAGTGGCAATTGTAAACAATTTTGCACTAAATCACTCCAAAAAATGAGTCATGTTCATTAATGAAGTTATGTAACAAAATCACCAACTCATACCTACTATATGCACCATTTATTGCTCCTATGGAGTAAATACAGATTCATGGGAAAATGTATACACAATTTATGTCATATTTTACTGACTTATCGTTGTATGTAAAAGACCCCTCAACACTGGTATTTGTTTATAGGGTGAACTAATCATCTGTAGGAAGAAGTTTTTTAAAATGGGGATTTACGATAATTCAACCGGTTTAACCGGGTTGGTAGAAATCACCATAGAAACAATTGTCTCAATAATTGTAACCATAGCAAAATCTACCAACCCGGTTAAACCGGTTGAATTATCGTAAATCCCCAATAATGTAGAATTGTGGTTACGATTTTTTCATTGTTTAGCGCATTCCCAAAGGCATTGAGTTATTATGTTGACCTTGTATAATGTCTCTCTATGTGCACAAACGGAGGCACAAACCCTCACCCATTCTTGAGTCTGTGAAGACTGTTCAGTGCGGCTTTTTTACTTTAATTAAAAACCAGAATTTTGAAATAGTATGAAATAGAAAATGACCTAAAATTTAATTTCAAAAATTCAAAATTTAAATGCACAGCAATTTTGGCAACGGTCACTAGACTGCCCATATAAACACCTGTATAGCTAGCTCAACCAAAACTAAAACTCCACACATTTTTAAATGAAAATGTTGAGTGTAAGATTTTCCAAATTTTTATTTAAACACCTGACATAACTCAGGGTACTAACAGAAAAATTTAGCATGAGAAATTTTATCTAACTCGTAATTTGGGCTCGATTAAACACAGTATAGAACATTTACAGATGAACGATTTATTACACAAAACGATCAAATAAGGCTGAAATAAAAATAGGCACTCGGGGCCAGAATACACATACCACGCAACAAGGGATTGATTGAAACAATTAATTAAAGAAATCTTGATTACCTTAACGTGTTAATAATCCAAAATATCGGGTAGTAACTTCGATTTTCAACAAATAGAACGCACAGACAAACCTAAAAACCAACTGTTGTTGTTTCTGGAACTTCACATCTTTCGGCACTTAATCTAAGGTATAATTGTTCGTTTCATTTTATAGTCCTATTTTCAAATTTAATAAAACAAACAAATTGAAGTAACTGAGCCATTAATGAATGCATACTTTTAGTGACATGTTTCGTTACGCTGGATTTACGGCTAAACAGCTTTAGCAAGGACGAACTAAAGCCATATTCTAGATCGTCCAGATTAATGGAGGCGGCTTTAACGACAAACAGTTGCATATTAAAAACCGACAACGGCCCGCAGCTATGGCGCAAATTCGAAACCCCCCTATACAAAAAGTTGAGAAAATCTCAGCAGTTTATGGAAGCGTAAGTATCGGCGACGGCGAATGCCTCGGTAATAGCCGCCGTTAATTACAGGGTCGCTATAGATTTATTATCGCAAAAGATGACGTTTTTTAAAGAAGATAGAAAAAAAACGGAATCTTTACTGGAAAGTTACCTGTCTTCTCCCGCTTTAGATTTTAAAGATATTATCGGAATCGTCTGTGATTTTTTATTGGCAGGTATTGATACAGTGAGTATTAACATGTCACAAACAGCAAAAAACGCGTTTTGACGGCGACAATAATTAAAAGTACCAAATAAGCGAAATGTAGTGTTTTTTGGTGTCTACACTCGAAACCCTATTTCAGTCAACTTACACCACAAGCTTCATTTTATACCACCTGGCAAGAAACAGACTGTGCCAAAGTACCTTATATCAGGAGTGCAAGAGACTTCTGCCTAATCCAGACAGTCTTATAACAAAGGAAATTTTAAGTGAGGCTCATTATGCAAAGGCAGTTATCAAGGAAACGTTACGTTTGCAACCGATTTCGGTAGGAGTCGGACGAGTACTGGATAGAGATGCCGAGTTTTCCAATTTCCATGTTCCAAAAGGGGTAAACGCCGTTATCCGAATTGCATTTGTGCTCAAGTGTGCTTATTTAGACAGTTGTCGTAAGTCAAAATCAAGTCTCGTGCCGTTTGGAAGAGCACTTTGTTACCCCAAATGAATTTCGACCGGAAAGATGGTTGAAAAATCACGAGCTTTACACTCAACCACATCCGTTTTTGGTTATACCGTTCGGGCATGGAGCTCGGTCGTGCATCGCTCGGAGGCTAGCAGAGCAGAACATGCTCATTTTTATCCTTAAGGTTGGTATATTTGAGTAATGATAAATGTTACCCAAATTATTGCCCTTTCATGTACCTACTATAACCATTTTTATTTTAGTTAACCAGGAAGTATAAATACCAATGGGACGGACAGTTATTAGATACAAAATCGCTACTTATAAATAAACCAGATGGACCAATTTCCTTGAAATTTGAAAAACGTTTGTAAGAAGAAAACCCAAATATATTTTGTGGATATAATTCACGTTAACTTTTTATAAGGAAAAAATACATTTTCTCATTCAATTGTATTTAATTTAATAACTCCTTGAATTTTGATAATTCCCTGGAACATTCGTTAGTACCGTGATCATATTTGGCTCAGTTTTTTTTATTTGACTTCTTTTTTCCTATTTGCGCACTGGGTATATAGGCGGCGTCTATAATATAAATGTAAAGTTTAAGTATATTATATTCATAATTATATACCGAGGTATAGAGAAAGACGCCTATAAAGTATATTCGCGTTTATTTAAAAATTCGCATATATGAACGATTCAGTAATGCCAACAACAAAACAGTACATTTTGCCGCTTCAGACTTGCTTGCACCTGTCAGGGCCGGCTCAAGACAAAAGTTACGTGTACGCAAGCAGTAAAATTTGCGCCCTTGCCCGCCGCGTTATAGCCTGAATAAGGGGAACTTTTGGCAAGCAGGTTTTTAAAAATACAGAGGTTCATATTATTTAAAACATATATATTGCTAGCAGCTCTGCCAACTTCGTACTGCCCATCAGACAATGTGTTGAATTGGGATACTGTTTTTGTAAAAAAATTTAAAAAAACTTCATGCAGAGAATCAAACCCGGACCACCCGGTTCCAAGCAAAGTAATACCACTAGACTATTATGGCACACCTTCAATTGTTATTTTATTAAACTTGTTCTTGTTATGGGAACTGATTTTGTTTATTTGCTTTTGTTGCATTGAATGAGTTCGCATTCGGAAAAAGAGGAATATCCAATATCCATCCATTTATATCCTTGAAATAGGATTACATCGTGGTAATCTTTTTATGCGTGATCGTTTGGTCTTAAAAATAGAAACTGCGTTTATATCCGTGATACGGCAAATATTAAATTTGAGAAATTTTTGCGCCCGTTCTTGCCTGCGCCGTAAGCGTTGGGTTACACCGCTTACGCCTAAAGCCGCCCTTGGCACCTGTTATGGTTGGTTGTTTGATTATTTTACAATTATGAAACGATTTATAACAACTCGCAAATAACTAATTTAACATTATAACAAAAATTAAATGATTGCATCCACAGAATGAACTAATTAAAAACAGTAATTGTTTATATGGAACTCGCGGAAATCTTTAGAAATGGTCAAGAACACACTTTTGAGATCGGTTGCCTCACTACTCCACAGTTTTATCACTTGTTTAATTTGCTCAGCCACACATTATACCTACTTTAGAAAGTTAGTACAATATGTGTAGCGGGTAAGGAGTTTTAACTAAAGTTTTTTATACTGGACAAATAGAAATCAACGGCAGGACAAGCTGATGACAGCCCCTCTACTACCAATGAAGGCAACAAAATTTCATTGTGGAATAGTGGTACTGCCAAGTTGAAAATGGAAGAAGGACATATAGCAGTACAATATGGGCTCCATTTCTAACGTTGCCAATTTGGCTCAGAGAGGGAATGGGGGGGATATTCAACAAGTCACCATCATACTGGGATGTTACATAATGTTTATTTCTAGATTACACTAGATATATACACAAAATCATTTAAATACAAATTAATACTACAGCATGGCACTTAAGTCCACGGTAAGAAATTAGTGAACATGACCGTACCAATAACTACATACCCTATAAAATAATACAAAATCAGTCTCTGAGTAAAATCATGCTTTTGAAATAGAAACATATTTCTAATTCCGCTATCATGCTCCTTAATGTATTTGAAGCTATATGCGGCGAACCAATACAGGACGGGACTAGCAGAACATAACATTCGCGTGGTAACTTGGACATGTATACAAAAAACGCAGAAAATAATTAAGAAAGTTTCGTGAACAATAAACACAAACATTTTTGGTTTGAAAGTTGAGACAGTCTTGGATTTCTCTCTACTGGTAGAGAAGTTAAAATTGAATATGCCCAGATTTAAACAATAACGCTTATGCATGGCGAAAAATTTGCAATTATTATACATCAAAAATAGCACAATAGGCGCGGCAAGTAAAAAGTTGGGAATCTGTTTACATTCAAAGTATTTCAAAAATCCCACATTCCAATAGTGACTTTGAATGTACGAGTACGCAAGTGGAATTTTATCGAGACACCAACTTTGATTGTAATACGACCTCATGCCGGGAAACACGTAGTCGTTGCTATGAATGAAGTCGATAAGAAAGACTGGTAAATTATGTTGAAAATCTGTGCAAAATTGTTGATAGAAATAGTACTGAGTAAGTACGAAAGGTATTAGACAAAGATAAATCGCGCAGATTATCAAAATTCCATTCTTAAAACAGGTGAATAATTTCATAACGAGACTTTTTGGTGCCGTTATGTTTCTAATACCGTCCTGTACCATAAAATAAATCAAAAACCCAATGTTTAATACGCCATTTGATCGAATACAAGCGCTTAAACTTGTGGGTACAATGATCTTCATGTAGTTATTTAACTTACGGTTGTATTTATCAAAAATAAAAACACAATGGAGCATAGATTTAAATGTGAGGTAACTGAACAGGCATTCAGTGTATGGGGCTACAAAAAATATCGACGCAGGGTTGATACAAAATAGCATAGCAGACTTATACGCTAAATCGACATTCAAGACTACGGCTGTTAACTTGTATAGCTCAACGCTGGCCTTTGTAAAGACCACAATATTCACAAATATGAAAGAGATCAAGAGTAGAGAGTCTTCGTTTAGGAATGTAATAAAGTAACTTGTCAGTGATGCGATTATTCTAACGATTAAAGGATACAAAGGGAAAAATGCGAGAGTATTCTCGTGTGTGTATCCGTATTTCGCAATGTGCATGAAATATTGGGCGTCCCATCGTAGGAAACCACCGAGTGATGTTTGAACCCAGACGTCGTAAGTGGACTGGTTTGAAGAGAGGCGAGGATATGTGAAGACACCCGCATCGTGGTCGGGTATTAATAGGTTACTAAAAAATTGTAGGATTATAATAAGCGTTCTTGTTATGATCGCAAATAGGATAATTCTTTTTTTATACATTTTACTTATACTTTCATATTTTTGCCGAATTTGAGGTTGATTTTATATTCAAAACATGGAAGTGGTTCTGCTTGGTTGTGGTTATTTGTCCAAACACATATACCACAGGATGAGTCGTTAATACTACACATTCTATTTACACGTATTTTTGCAATTATGGTTACTAATCGGCTCGGTTCGTAGTGGGCATTAATTGAACTGTAATGATAAAATAAATTGAAATGTTGGTGGATACACAGACATATTATATCATGCGTTACTGGCCTTGTTATATTTGTTATGCATTAACGTAAATAAAATAACTTTTCCGCATAAAAATCTAGTACTCTTCCCACAAATGTGAAACCACACATTTCTAAATGTAACAAAGAAATTCGAAATGAAGGGCCAATTCGGTACTTCCAGGGGTTGGCCCATAAAACTGGTGGTGCAGCTACCCGATTGCAGTTAATCTGTTCATAAGGATGCCGCCATCAGTAAACGCTCTCGGAGAGCGCTGGAAGTAGGATTTTGTCCCGTCTTGTTCGACAGCTAATGAGTTGAAATATCTTGGATAGTGTGTATCAAGGGAGTTTTAACTTTTATGATTTGATCTAACATGTACGATAATGCATTATTTCGTTTAAGATTAATGTTGAACTCGTAGTGTAATTATTGTATTCTTTTGGTAGTATTTGATGATTCTAATTGGAAGGAAAGGAAATTTTTGTGGTCGGTTTACTCATTCCTATGGCGTGTGATGCAACAATAATTATAAGACAATCGACTACAACGTTAATTAAAACATACCTCTGCTTTGTCTGAACGGCGTTTAATCGAATATCCATGCATTCATTGCTTACTTTCGTTTATGATGTTTTGAATATTTTTCTGATGTAAACACATTCTTATACACATTCATATAAATATAAAATATTGACGGATAGATTCATCTTTCAGCCATACTCAATTTGCTTGCAGTATATTAAAGTATATACAGAGATGGTTCTGGCACGGTTATATCAAACGCGGGACGTGAGACACGATTTGCATTTGAGGATCTGGTGTATACTGTACCTTTTATTCAAATTGTTAACCTCTTTAACCCCATTGACCCCTCGCTTCGCGGGTTGTTTGAATAATACTATCAGTTTGAATTTCGTATTAGGTAGGGACCAATATTTATTGACTAAACATGATATTATCCCCGAAAGAGTCTGGTAAACTTATTGCGAAACTGGCAAAGCATGTGCAAATACTTCCAGAAGGAATAAAAGATCTAGGAGGCTTGGTAAGAAATTACATTACTGCAAACCAATTTCCATTTAAATCTTCAGATTACAAAGGAAGTTAATGCAGGCAAGTTCTCGATTGAGGCGTTTAGCCAACATTCTGTGCATCCCAAGTCTACAGATCCATGGGCGTTAGACTGGATCTTCGTAGTAGACACACTAAACTTTTGTTTTTGGCACAAAGAAAATGAACCAGGTTGGGTGGTCGATGGTAAATCCGGATATTTCGCGTTATGTACTGCTATTAATAGGGCTCTAAAAGTATACCAACTGGGTATTGCACCATGTGTTGTAACTGAACTATTTTAGGAAAATGTGGACATTTTAAACCCGAAATTTTACTCCACAGTAACGAAGGATCAACTTGGAAAGGTGTTTCGAAGTGATAACGGTACAGAAATTCCACTGTTTGATGAAAGATTAAAATCGCTACACGAAGTTGGTGCAAGCTTGCTGGAAAATTTTGAAGGCTCCTTTAAAAACTGTGTCCTCCAAGCGAAAAATTCATCTAAATCGTTGTTAAAGATAGTTACAGATAATTTTAAATGTTACCGGGATGAAGCAGTGTTTAAAGATCATGAAGTTTCATTTTACAAAAGAGCGCAGATATTAGTTGGTGATATTTGGGCATGCTACCGTAATACCGGATTGGGCCAGTTTGACGATATTAACGAAATGACCATGTTTGCTGATTATCGTGTTCCCCAATCCTTACTGTATTACAATGTTTTAAAGTATTCTGACGATTTACTAAACGTACTGGAAGGTGAGACCGTCTTGGATAACGGAAACGAGATGGAAGTGGAGATTAGAGGTTGCTCCATTGAAGCAGTACGTTTACTATGCGATTATGTGAAAGAGCGAGTCGACTCTGACAAAGAAGTGAATGCTATCTTAATTGATCATTTCTTGTGGGATTTTCGAAGAAGCCATGCTGAAGAAATTGTACAGAAAAAATTACCTTTTCATAAAACTTTTTGTATTTATTATTGAATGTAATGACAAACACAAACTCACTTCACAAAGACTATTAGCATTGTTTAAATACTTAGATGACATTATTAGGTATTATTTGGTCAGAAAATACAATGTGTGCAAACAAAGTCCTTTTCTTCGTGCTTAATTGATCTCGGTTACATAATTGATGCCTATTGTTTTAAGTGCAAAGGAAAAGTCCTTTGTTTTATATACCATTATATTGAAACATCACATTCTGCATTTTGTGTAGGTATAAAGATTGTTTAAGAAAAGTATTTGAACTTGCTTTAGTATTATTATTTGTAATACCGTCACTTTGTACTAAATTAAATTTGGTTAATATTGCACACAGAGCCTCCTCGTTATTATCTTCAAGTTTGTACTTCTTCATACTTAAATAATGCAATATAAATAGATCGCAGTTCCAATTTCTATATTTTAAAGGTTATACAGCAAATTCATTTTTATAAATGTCATTTAAACATGATGGAAGACATAATTGTATTAAAGATTAAACTGCGCACATGCAACGAAATGAAAAACAGACTGTATAAAAAGTTTGTTATCCTAAAACATATTTACAAGCAAAAAATATAAAATGTGATCGTTATACATTTCCTTCTCAATCATATTTAATTTTAACTATTACATATACTGTCATTTTGTAAAACTAAGCATCCCACTCTTCGTCATTGGAGTCTGTATCAGAGGTGCTATCATCCTCTGAATGAATTACGCGATTTCGTTCTGCTAGGGCCCTTGCAAGTGCACATGCTAGGTCTCCACGACCCGGCTGATCATTCAACGGCGATACTGGTTTCACTTCCCTTTCCTACAATTATCAAAAATTTATTTTTGCACATTTTTAAATGATAATTGCAAACAGTGGTAAGGCAAGTGAGTTCAAAAATTACAAACTACTATGATAGTCAGCCAAGAGTAGCTTACTTGATAATACCTTTATTTAAAATAGTTGTTACTGTTCTTTTTCCGATTAATGGAGTTGGATTTGTGCCAAAGTCAATAGACTAGCGCATGCATCTGTCTGCATTACAACAGATGACTTACTACTCTCATCAAATACAAAACCAAAAATGCTCCAAAATTTATAACACCGAGCGTCAAAATCTGTTGTTTTAAAAAAAACAAAAAACCATGAAACTGAACAAAAGCATAGTTTTAAATGACAAGAGCTCACTCTCATCCTACAAGGGGCCATTTTATTGCAAATTTTGTAGCGCAAGTAGTAAAATACATAATTACAAATAAGTGGAATAAAGGAATTAAGATAATGAATGAATTTTTTTTGTTTACATGAATTGTTAGACAACATAAAGCTTGCATTTAAAAAAAATCACAGGTGTAATTTTGTCATCCTTCCTCTTTACACTGAACTCACTTGCTATCACTGATACAAATAAGTACATACAACAGCAGGCTTCAGCTGAAAACCTTTCCGAATTTCACTCATTAGATCGGTTCGTCCGGAATCAGTGAGTGTCCCTCTTTTTTCGGTGTCAACTTCTACAGGCTGCAAGAAGAATGAGTAAGTGACTAGCCGGAATACCCTAACTGACCTTTAGAGTAGCTCCTCCTCGTATACTTTGCATCAGAGCAGAACGCATGTCTTGTGTGGGGGTTTGTGGAAGCACTTCGGTTTGAGGCGCTGGCACCGGAGCTGGCGGTGGTGGTGGAGGCGGTGGCGGCGCCATACCTGGAACCGGAGGCGCGCTGTTCAGTGACGAAGTCTTCGGTGCCAGCACTTGTTTTTGAGCTTGAGACAAACTTGGCGGCGGAGGAGGTGCTGCTCTCTAAAATGAACAGTGATTATCACTAAATTGAAGCTAGTTACTTACATTGTGTGTGCTTCTAGGAGGCACCGGCGGTCCTGCCACGGGTGATGGGGGAGCCGGTGCTGGTTTCCTTGTTTCTTGAACAGTTTCCTGGACCGCCTCGCGGCCGCCGTGATTATTAATAAAATTGTAAATAAACTCGCGAGTATTTCTATCTTGTAGTTGCTTCTCCGAAACGCCTGCCTAAATAGCAATCCTAATTATTGAGAATTCTTCACAAATGTTACCTTTTGGAAGAAAGTGTTCAGCTGCGGATCGTCCCCGTTTATGTCAAATCCACGGTCGGGATCGAAGCCGACATGCGAAACGTGCCTAAATTCGGAAGGATTACTAATGTCTGCTTTAGTAATGTTTCGTTTCCGCTTTGCCTTTCTTTCGTTTGGGTCCGAATGTTTCCTATACATCATTAGATCGTTGCTCGACGGTAATCTCGGGTTAGTATTTTCTGGTTGTGAATTTATGTTCATACGGGAGTGACGTTTCTCTACAATTCAGCAGTGAAAAAAATAATGCAAATGAATGGAAAATAGGTACCTTCGCGTCGTTTCTTTGCCTGTAGTTTTCGATCTACAATCATCTTTAATTCTTTGGCTTCTGTGGTGTTCGCAAAATTAAAGGCTACCATGTATCCCTTAAACAAAACCGCTTTTTAGCAACAATTCGATTAAAGGAGTCTATAATTCTTCGGAATTATGATCGATCACACTTGTAAGAGCAGCAGCAGAAGGGGGGGGATGGGATGGTAATCATCCCTTTCCCTAATTACAGTACCATGAAAAAATATCTACAAACATTCTTACACACTTCCTCCCAGATTTTTTAACACTGTCGCGTTTTAGGTGTTTCTTTATTTCAACAATCACTATCCATTAACATATTATTTCAGGGCTGTATGCTTAGTGCATAGAGAATCCCTTTCCCTATTAAATTTCTTTTCGATGTTAAAAAATTCACTTTCTTTCTATCTCTTTTCTCCTCTTTTTTTTTCTTGTAGATATCTTTAAAAAAATGTTTTTTGTTTGTTTATATTAATCTCATGTAGTGAATGCTCATGTATAACATTATGTATGGGAATAAAGTCAATTATTATTATTATATAGTGAACACAATGCAGGTCAGTCGTCAGTCACCATTCACGCTTTGAATAAAACTAATATAAAGTGCAAACGCGATGGGATCTTAGCAATCTTAAGAGTTAATGAAATTTTGTAAAGATTGTAAGATTCATACTACATTGGGTGGCTTTACAGATGAGGTCTACCCCTGTCCCAATGTCCACCCTATTATATGTTAACAATTGCATTTTTCACAATTGGCAACTATGATTTTGTCTGGGATTTCTTATCCAAACAGGAAAGGAAGTTGAAGATTACCGTCTCTGCAGTGGTATAAAAATCCAGTGAGTAATGACATCCGTGTATTTGTTGATATTATTAATAATAACTTATTCTATAATTACCTCGCCCTCAAACGAATGAAAAAAATCCTGACACGCCACGTACTCTAAATTATTGTAGATTTCTTGCTGCCATACCATGCTGTTGCGTCGCAAACAATACAATCGAAAGAAGTAGTTCTTTCTAAAGTTATCCTTTACGAAACACAATATTCCCGTGTCCTTCTTGACCCATTGCATATGAAGCGGGGCTTCCGTGATGTATAACTGTATGACAGTGGTCGCTAGACTCTAAAAGGACACTTAAACAGTACACTTTTAAGATGATGAGCTACTAACCTGACAACGAACTCCAAGTAACCCAAATACCTGTTCATTTTCTTCATGGCTTATTATATTACATTTTTTATTCTCGCAAATTTCTTGAGGCATTTTTTAATGGGCACTTATATTGAAGTGTATGGAGTATGACTCAGTGATTTACATTACATTTTATATGAACTGAAAAAATGTTAATAATAATAGTAAAATAGGTTAGGGTGAATGTGAAACGTCAAATGTATCAGTGTCAGCACTGAATAAACTTAACAAACAAAAAAACTAGGAAAAAAGTAAGTAATGAAGAAGTTAGGCAACCCACAAATGGCCTTTGTTAAGTGGGTTACGACCTGAAGAAAAATTAGGCTGCAAAGAAGCATGAATTTTGAAGAAAAAATCCCATTAAAACTTGCACAGTGTGTCATTTTATTGGAGATACCAAAATTTCAGATATTTAAAACACAGAATAACTGCATTTATAATTATTTACAAAATCGAATGTACAAGTTGTTACCCTTGCAGATCTGAGAAAGCAGATTTTTAATTTTGAAACGGTACCAAGTAATTCATTATTACCATTGAATAAGTAATTACTTATTCATGTTATTACCATACTTCTCAATCCGATACATTGAATTTTTTATCTCGTCCAATGGTTATTAGGTACTATTTGCACTTTTCTAAAGACCTGATTTTTATGCAAAGCAAATGTATATACGTTTTTCTTGCATTAAAAAAACATACCTACACGAAATTAATGTATCGTTTTTATCGCCTTTCCACAAAAAAATGCGCTATTGTGGCCACTTTGTCCGTCCGGTCCGTCCGCTCGTTCGTTGAGACGCTACTAGTTCTTTATCTTAAGAGCTTTTGTTCTACTTTTTCGCTATTTGGTTCGTTATGGTGTCAAGGATTCCACTAAGGAAAGAATTTTTTCTGCGTTTATTGCTAAACAAGTTATTGTAAAGAAACCAAAAAACCGTTTTTTACATGTTCCATAATTTTACACTTTTGCCGTTTATTAACGATCCAAGAGATCGTTTATAATTTTGAATTCTGTCTGTCGTCTGTCTGTTGGTCTGTCCGTCTGTTGCTTTGTCTGTCTGTCCCTCTATCTGTCCGTGTGAACGATAACTTTGTTTAGAAATGTCCGATCGCTTTTACATCTCCGTTAGTTATCAACTGAATTGCATGAAATTCAATATGGACATAGCTTCAGTCATATAATACGCGATGCCAAAAGTTGAGTCGAATCGAATCAAAATTCACAGTGCCCTTTTCGCATCTTGACCATTTATAAATTCGATGTAGAAGGGATTTCCTATAGGAATTTCCTATGTCGAAAGACGCGTAATTTTATGCAACCAAAGGAACTACCTGCAACAAATGAGGATCTGCCTGTCATATTAATTAATTTGAATATTATCGCTTTGACGTCTCTATTCTAATTTCAGTTCGTGTGCGATGTGTTCAACTAAAGAAAAAGTTGATATTTCCAATTGGTATAGTGCCGATAACAGTTAAAGGAGCTTAAGAGATTTATTTTCTGTGAAGCTAAAGCAACAATATTGTAATTAATATATGACAGCCAGATCTTTGTTTCAAGAAGTTATTTTGGTTGTATAAAATTGGGCGTCTTTCAGGAGACTTTTTATCATGTAAATTCCTATAGGAAATCCCTATGTCTACTTCTACATGAATATCACTGTATATAATCTCGGAGAACTTTTATTGAGAGTATTTGAAGATGCTTTAATTTTAAATATCAGTCTATCAGGAATTTGTGAATCATTAAAAAAAAGGAATATTTTTGTTTTTGTGCGGATATTTGCCGCAGCTAAGGATTTAACTTAGAACACCAAGATCAATTCGTATAACATGGCAAAAATGTCACAAATTGAACATAACAATGCTGATGATACACTGGATATTGTGGTATCGGTACTCCAAATTCACGAACCCAGTTTTGCCTCAAGTGTTGTCAATTTCTGTTGTGAGGATTTATTTAACCAAAATCGCTCCAAAAAATCGCCTATTTTTGCTAGTAGTTTTTCTTCTACAGCAAAAATCATTGTTCCAGTTTTCGCGCATTCGAAATCTTTTCCTTTCATCGGGTTGACATTAGCATTGGAAGGGTAATTTTTCATTTGAGTCAGCCCTGCTTTTATGCAAAATCACAGCTTCAGTAATTCAGTGCATATCTCAGGAATCCAGAGTTACAGGTCCTCAATATTCCACGAAACCGGTGTGGGAAAGTTGAGGACGTCTGTATGACATATTCAATAGTTGGTTATTAAGATTATGGCAAGTTCAAAGCTTCGAATTAGACAAATTACAAAATATTCTAAGATGTGAAGTGTCCAAGATGTCTCTGAAGGATGTAGGGCTTGCATGATTTTTAGCAAACGCTTACCATAATGCTCTGATTTTCTTATACCATGAAACGAAATTTGAGAGCAAACCTCTGAGTTTACTGTAACCTACCTGGAAGATTACCTCCCATCATGAAAGTTCTTGCTAGTAGTTGTACAATGGAACAAAAAAGAATTGTATAAATCTTTTATTCGTAATTATAACACTGTTTTCTGACAGCAAGTACTCCATTACAAACTATCAGAAAACTATACCTCAATTCCTGGAACTAGAGCTTATAAAAATAAGGCATTACAACATTAAAACTAAACAGTGACTACGTGCGATAGTTAACAGTTAACAATACAGATTAAATAAATAACTAAATACTAACTACAATTTCGTTACTTGCACTAATTTATAAGCAATGATTCACAGGATTGTCAATGATGGCACCTACAGATCTCCAATTATTGAATAGTTAATGCAGATCCATTTGGCAAACTTTATAAATAAACATTATGCTGAATTCTAATGGCCTTTTAATTAAATTAGTATGTTAGTGTCTCCGAAGTGCGATCATACGACTTATATAATTTTCTGAGCGTACCGCAGGCATCAATCGGAATAACAAATTAAGCGATGAACGGAAATGTGACGCCAGTAACCTTCGGCCATACGAAGTTCATAATATCTGCACTTAAAAAACCGAAACGTAGTTCTGGCAAGATTAATGCGTTAAAATCACACTTAATAAGGTCTCGGATCGTAAGGGGTTGCATCGAAACCGACGTATCTGTTGTTTTTCCTATGTTTAAATCCATCAGCACCCGCATTGTAGTAAATCACCCGTCGAATACCGAATGGATCGATATATCCGAAGCTGCCGCTCTTCTCATTGCCCGGCAGACTTTGTTCTTCGTGGTATTGCTTTGGAATGTAGTACCGGAAGCCGTCGTTCGTCACTGAGACCCCATCGTAAAGCGCGAACTGGGGGTTGTAGCCGTTTCCCAGGTTGTTGCTGTGCCCATTGTACGTGTGGCCGTTCTTGTCGATCGGGTACGTTGGGCCGTTTTGGTAAACGTATGGGTTGATAAATCTGTGGTTGTCATTATAGTGTTCGTATTGCGGGTTGCTGCTGTAGAATGGAGAGTCTATTGCGTTGGAGCTGATGGGTGGCAAAAGTGTGGAGGTTGGTTGGACGTATTGTACCGAGGGTGACTGGTAGTGCGTTGAGGGTGTTGGTGTGGTTGAGGGTATGTAGATTGTTTGAGGTGTCGTGGATACTAATGGCGGTGGGGATGTGGTGCTTGGGGCGATGGTGCTCGAGACAAGCGGCGATTCTGTTGATGAAGGAATGGAGTTTAAAGAGAGCTCGACGTCAGGTGTATGACCTCCGTATGTGGATGGGGAGCTAAACACATACGACGGTGTCGTTTGGGGCACGTTGTATTCATTAAATTTAAAGACGGCAGGTTGATGATTGGCGACACTGAAACCGGCAGGAAGGAAGTTGACTTTCGGAGATGATACGAATGGTGACGGGGTTGTTTTAACAACTGGGCTTCTTCCAGCATCCACAAGAGTACCTGCTTCGGCTGGTGCCTGTTTTGCAATAGACAATGCTTGACTGACCGGCCGGTTCCTACCAACAAATACGTTCTTGGTTTTAAGTATCCTGTACCCGGCGTTATCCGCAATGTAGTCCCGCATTCTAAAAATACCATCGTCATCAACCCAGCCGTACGTTCCAATCACGGTGCCATCTTCCAACCGCTTCTCTTTCCTGTACTGCCCACTGATCGTTTGGTATCGAAAATATCGTTCGGGTCCTTCGTCGGTTTGTATATGATATTGTGCTTTGGAGGGGTCGCTCCAACCATCGTTCGATGCACGTACAGATGGTGGAAGTATGCTCACCGCCTGAAATTAAACGCCAAATTAGGAACAACTAAGTGGAAGATGGAAGGTTCTTTGTAAGCTAATACAACTTCTTAAATTGTTTTATTGCTACTATTAAATTACGTACTATAAAATTTCATGTGAAAACAACCTGTAATATCAATACAGGTAGGTGTATGACATTGACATTGTCGGCGGCAATATCTATAATTACATCATCGAATTTCAAAACTTGGAATGAGTCTACGAGTGGGATGAGAGAATGTAGGGTAGAGAAAATTCAATTCGATTAATTACTACATAGAAGTAAATACAATTGAACAATAAAATTTAATTATTTTATGGAGGTACGCGTATATAATAGGCATTGAAAGGAAATCCGTCTGTTATTTACAAATAATTGGACTAAAATGGAAAGCGAAGTGACCATTTTAATATTAAGTTATATAATCTTATAGCTCGGTTCTTAATGAAAAAAGTGTAGGTTTTTGGAAAGTTTACAAATTTCGTAATTGTGTATATACGATGTTCTAAAATATTTCGAAATGGAACAAAGTCATTGTAACGCAAATGCATAGTTTTTGCAGTGTGGAGAATAAAATGGCAACCTCCTCAAAAGTGACCGAAAAGCACCCCACACAGGAGTGGGAAAATATTATATATGTTACAGGTCCAACCTCTTGTTTAATCCCTCGAGTAGCAAACTACTCTCGGGATTAAAACATGCACCTCCCGCATATGTACAGTGTCCCCCCCGATTGTTTGAAAGCCTCTTGTAAAAGACAAAAATTTTTGAACTGAATTTTTCTGGGGATCACTGCTGCTTGGTTGGAAACTAATTTGTGACATAATTTTCGTTGCAAAAATCAAGGCTACTTTTTCAAGAAACGATTTGTGCATATCATGCGCTCTTTGGGAAAATTAAAAATCTTACTTAAAAAAACAGTTCAAAATAGAATGTTTACTCAGGTTTTCATTCTGAATAACTATTCATAATAATATTTGTGTGTATCCCGTTCCCAAAGAGCATTTTACTCTCGATTTTACTGGTATGCAAAAAAGTCGTAGTCGTCAAGGGCATAGCAAATAGCACTGTCTCGAGATTGTGTGCAATACTATGTAGAAACCAATTTAGAAAAAATATTCAAAGGGCTGAAATTTTTTGCACTAGTAGCCCAATCTTGGAACTGTTTGAAATTATGGATTCTACAGGCCACATTCTATAAGAAAATTTTTTTCCGGGTCGATCTGAGACAATTTTTTTTGAGGGCCCTCAAAAAAAGGCAGTGTACAACCTTCTTTTTTTTACAAAAAATCGACTGCTCCAAAATTTCTCGGGAAAACACTTTTTCTTATTAATTTTGGTGCGTAGAATCCAAAACAATTCGTACTTTTTCGATCAGACTTCTCAATCAAAGTTATAGACTAGAAACCAATTTCGAAAGAAAATTCAAAGGGCTGTAACTTTTGAACTAGTAGCCCAATTTTGGAACTGTTTGAAATTATGGATTCTACAGGCCACATTCTATAAGAAAATTTTTTTTCCGGGTCGATCTGAGACAATTTTTTTTTCGGGGCTCAAAAAAAGGCAGTGTATAACCTTCCTTTTTTACCAAAAATCGACTACACCAAAATTTCTCGGGAAAACACTTTTTCTTATTAATTTTGGTGCGTAGAATCCAAAACAATTCGTACTTTTTCGATCAGACTTCTCAATCAAAAGTTATAGACTAGAAACCAATTTCGAAAGAAAATTCAAAGGGCTGTAACTTTTGAACTAGTAGCCCAATCTTGGAACTGTTTGAAATTATGGATTCTACAGGCCACATTCTATAAGAAAATTTTTTTTCCGGGTCGATCTGAGACAATTTTTTTTTCGGGGCTCAAAAAAAGGCAGTTATAACCTTCCTTTTTTACCAAAAATCGACTACACCAAAATTTCTCGGGAAGACACTTTTTCTTATTAATTTGCGTAGAATCCAAATCAATTCGTACTTTTTCGATCTGACTTCTCAATCAAAAGTTATAGAACTAGATACCAATTTCGAAAAAATTCAAAGGGCTGTAACTTTTCAACTAGTAGCCCAATCTTGGAACTGGTTGAAATTATGGATTCTACAGGCCACATTGTATAAGAAATTTTTTTTTCGGGTCGATCTGAGACAATTTTTTTTTCGGGGCTCAAAAAAAGGCAGGCAACCTTCCTTTTTTACCAAAAATCGACTACACCAGAATTTCTCGGGAAAACACTTTTTCTTATTAATTTGCGTAGAATCCAAATCAATTCGTACTTTTTCGATCCGACGTCTTAATCAAAAGTTAAAGACTGGAAACCAATTTCGAAAAAAAATTCAAAGGGCTGTAACTTTTGAACTAGTAGCCCAATCTTGGAACGGTTTGAAATTATGGATTCTACAGGCTACATTCTATAAGAAAATTTTTTTTCCGGGTCGATGTGAGACAATTTTTTTATTTTTGCTTGTGTAAGGAACCCCGGACTTTACCCCGACCCCCTCTACTTTGCCTGAGCTTGCCGCGCGCTTATCTCAAGGTAACTTTGTTACTTTTGCAAAGTGAACGTAATCTGTGTAAATTTTCAAATAAATCTGCAAATTCGCAGAATGATCTGGTACCACTTTTGAACCCAGGTAAATGTGTAAATTTACAGTTAGGTCTGCAATTTAATAAAAAAAAGGGGTGGGGTTTAAAGCTATTCTGATTGGCCCTTAAAGATAAATGGTTCACTTAATTATTAGAAGTCATAATGAAAAGGGTGTTAATTAATAAAAAAAATAAGTAGGGCTAATCTGGAGAGATTTACAAAGGGTTTCGGTTTTGGGCTACAGACGCATTAGATGCACTTCGGTTGCCGCAATAAAATTCGTTTTGAGATCGCCAGGGCGAACGTTGCTATTTTTTTCGGGCATAGTAGAAGTCAAGCGCGAACTACGAACTAAAATACCAAAAAATCCGGTCTCCAACCAATTTTTTATGCTATTCAATTTAAAATGAAAATCTTTAATCGCGATCTTGTGAGTTTATAATTAGAAGAAACTCTTAACCCATCATTATAAGTTAGCAGCTAGCCGTGGGCCAGTTAAATATTTTGATAACAAAATTTACGTTCAACTTTAGTAAGTTCGATATTTTTATCCAAAGAGGGGAGGGTCTATACCGAAACCCAACCACTAACCAACATGTTACGTAACTGGACTAGCTGTAAACTTTCACCCCGCTCTCAGCCCTTACTTTTCTCCTACTATTGGATGAGTGGACCCAAACGTAAGAAGGAGAAACGATAAGTGGGTACGAAAAAGCACAAGGATGTTATATGTATTATAACGCCCTCCCTCTCCCTCAAAGAAGGAATTACATGTCAACTCCCCGTGTAGGGGCGGGTAGTAGAATAGCCCTACCGCAGAGACACTGCGTGTCGTAAAAGGCGACTAATCAACGGAGGAAGAAGCGAACATTTTCTTCAGTTTGTTCCTTCAAGGTCTGATCCTCTTGCTTCTTCTCAGTAATTAGAGATTTGCAATGGTCAATTTGCGAATTTGACCAAGTTGAACTGCAAGGAAATTGTTTGCTTACTTCCTATTTTACGAGGTATCTTCGGTGAGCTAATTAAGAAACTTCGTTACGGGTAATAAAATATTCACTACGTAACAGGTTCAGATATACAAAAATTTGCTGTGCGCGTTCTGCCCAAAAGCCTTTCAGCTCTTTTTTATGTCAAAAAAATGTGTACCAAATTTGGTTCCAATCGGTTCAGGAGTTTAGCCGGAAATGGGAATTCAGACGGACCGACATCATCGAGATTTTGTTTGATTCGGATTCCGGGTGCTTCAAAACATGTATTTCCCTAAAAAAAAAGGAAGGTTATTTTTAGCCCAATCCAATACCTCCGTTACTAACGTCCAGGTGGTAAAAATAGCATCAATGGTTTAGCTAGCACAAAAGTAATTGGACCGATTGAATAGTCGTTTTCTAAATGCGAGTGTTACGTAATTCAAGCATTTCATTTACAATAGATACTAGATCCTGTGAAAGGTTTCAATCCTCGACCTTACTCGCAAGTTTGATTTAAGGGCGTTCTTTAGGTGTGGTCATTTAAATTACTACTTCAGCATCAATTTTGGAGCAAGGATTTCGGGCTTTCTTTACTATGCGAGAATCGATCGTTGGCAATCAATAAAATTAAAGTTCACGGTTACAGCAGATAACGGCTCGGTTACGCAATGAAGGTTTAATTGGTAATTTGTTTTAATTAAGCCTTATGCGATTTTTACCTATATTGACGAGTAAATGCAAGCGAAACGTAAAGTTCAATTTTTCCTGTTTTCACTTAATGTGACCTCCTTTGCGCCAGAAATGGCTTACTGGTCTAGTTGGGAGTCGTACCAACATACTTCTGCGGCAATTTGAAGCAATTATTATTACGTTCGGATAGTTGCACATTCTTTAAGATACACAAATGTGGCCTACACAATTGTTTGCGTAATCTCTATGCGGTACCTTGCTTTGAGTAGGCCAAAGAATGTGACCTCTCTTTTTAAAAACATTACGTGAATACATCATTTGCTTTTTGGACAACAACAAATTCGATTTCAACGTACCTACATGTTCAATTTTGCTTAAGAACTCGAAGCAATTGCCAAAAAATTGTGTGAATGTCGAGGTGAATGTGATAAAACATTAAAAATAGTATGCACACGAAAACTGCAGTAAAACTGGGCACACATGGAGATGAAAAGAATCTAAGGATTACGTCAGCTTTGGATCTTTTTTGCGTAGAAAATGAAGAAATACATACAGCAAATGATACACTTCTGTTATCAGACTTAAAGAGAGATTCGATAAATTCACTTCTAAGTAGTTCTTTTAGCTTGGATTCATTAGATTTTTACATTTAGTAGTAGTAGTAGTAGTAGTAGTAGTAGTAGTAGTAGTAGTCATTTTTTCCATCTGTCTGTCCGTGCCGCAACCACTCCTTAAAGTGGTTGTTACCACTCCTTAAAGTG